ACATTACAAGACTCACAATGGAACTTTTAAAGGAAATCTGCACATCTTTTTGCTGCTGTTTGTTTTTCGCCATTTGAAGCTCACTGAGCTTGGCAAAAAGTCCCTTGGGATTTTGTCAAATACTGAATTGTTTGTATCAGCCAACATGGCTCTTTTCATGGACTTTTTTGCTTGTTTGTTTGTTTTAAGAATGTCACCGACTGTGTCAGCAGAGTTCTTGGAAAAAGCTTTTTTAGTTATGTTGTGCTCCCTCTGCTGACTCTGCAGCAACAGAACACGAAGGAGTTCAGGTCCTACACTATGGAGTGGTTTGCTGGATTTGAGAACCTGGAGACCACACCAGCATTGTTTTAATGAATTAAATGGAATCAGTCCAAGAGCGTTAAGTTATTCTTTACAATATAGAAAAAAATTGACATGTTTTGGCTTATCTAAAACTATTTGGATAAATAGTGCCTTTGTTTTATGCAAATTTTCTTGTTAGGTAAAGTCCACTATACAGACAGATACTTTAAATGACAAATATATTGTTTTCATGAGTAAAGAGACTCAGACTCAGGTTAAAGCCTGATTGCACTTAGACATAATCATGGATATAAAAAATGTATAGAGCAATACGATCCCTACTGAAAGAAACTACAGTTTGAATAAACATACGAGGTGAGAAAGAAAATAACATCTTGCCTCCTCTGAACATGTAGAGAACTGAGACAGAGAGCATGGAGTGGTAATTTTTACTCTCCAGGACAAAGCAGGTGCAGTAAGATGATGCAAGTTTTCACTAAATAACCAGAAGAAAAATTAATAAAAGGCTATCTCTTTTTAATCTGTCTCTTAATAGAATTCATGACTATTTACACCTTCCAGAAACATTGGTAAGTTACTTTTTGAGCACAGTGTATCACAAAATCAGACCATATGCCTCCTATTTAGGACCTGAAAACAGCACTGGTCAAAATGTTGGCTTAATCTATTTATGCATTGCCAATAGGATTTCTGTGTCAGAGGCAATGAAAAAACTGAGTTATTGAAAGGGAAATGTGATTCCTTTATTGCAGGATGGTCCTTGTTCTTCTTACAGTCCATCACAGCAATTCCTTCACAAGAGATTAATGAAGTTCTCTAAATTAAGTGGATGTGACACCATCGTTTATTTTGAGGTATACACAAAGCATGTCATTGTTATGTAGATAAATTAAACATACAGGGATATGAAGCTGATCCTTCACTATCTCTATTTTTTCTTAAAAGTTCGGAATGGTTTTATGATCTTGACCAATTCATACATGAAGTTAATTCAGAGATGGTCTGCACCTGCTCTAATTAAATTAATTAGCAAGGTTCTCATTACATTCAGCAGAACCTGCATATTAATTTATTTGATAAACTCTATGAGACATTTATATCAGAGATGAAATTCAAACTATAGCATGAAATGTGTTTTTAACTTAAGAAAAAACCACAAACCTTATACACATAGCGTTAATTATTGTATATGTTCATATTTATTTTGGGCCTGTAGTATTATTATGCCATTGTCTTGATTTTAGCTCAAAGCTGAGATGCAGCAGCTTTTCTCTTTTTTGTTCTTGATTTTCTGCATCTCGTGTTACACTAGGATGTTTTGTTTGTTTCACTGAATACCTAGAGGGTCACATTTTGGTACTTTAGTCTGGAAAAAGCGTGCCTAGAATGCAGAGCAACAGGCCTTTCAGGTTAACTGAGCACAGGTAGTCCTTATGGCAAAGAGAAGGCTGTGATCCAGGATGCTTTTCATACCGTGATGGTCTCTGACACTGTATTCTGTGCTTTTCTATTAAAAAAATGCACTGAAGAGTTTCCTTATGAATTGGAAATCAGTTCAACTTGAGATTTCTACTGAGTGACACAGTTCTCACAGCACTCTGATAAGGCTAAGCTAACATAGTGGCTGATGGTTTATACAATTACTAGCTAAGGTCACGTGCCTTCTTTTACTTCCTTATAGACAGTAGTTACCTGTTGGTTGTGTGAGATTAAGTGCATATGATGGGAGTTATAGCAACTAGAATCACCTCTCAGTTCTTAAAGTTAGCTCAACAGCATTTTCTTTCAGTCTGTGGTTGTTGTTTTTTTTTTTCTTGATGAAATATTAAATCATATTCTTTGGCTTTATGTGAGTGACATCTCTGCTTGTTTTCTGCACAATCTTCTCTTGGCTGAGGATGATTTTTTTACACATGGAAATCTTTTAATCCAACTTAATGTTTTGATTACCTGAATTTCACATGGGCATCTGTGAATTTTATGGAGTTCTTCATAAGTTTGTTGGGACTAACTAACTGAGATGGGACTTATGCTTGGATGTTTGGTTTTTGTTGTTTGAGGATACCAATTGAACATTATGTTGCGAAGGAAAATGTTGGCATTCACCTTTTCAAGGGGAAGAAAAAGAAGATATACAACAAAAGTTAGGTAAAGTTTCATACAAATGAGAAATATTTTGAAAACAAACTATTAAACACAGTAACAGCTTAACGTTTCAGTTTGCAGTAACGTAAGAATAAAATCGGCACGTATCTTTTCATTCCTCTAATATTTATAATACAAATCAGACAATATTGGAAAAACTCATTTTCTTCCACTGAGGTGGTGAATTGTATTAAATTTAGCAGGATGTTTATGATTCAGCTAAGACCAGTCATATGTGAAGAAGATTAGAACTTCAAATCTGTGCTGAAATGGTCTGATTTTATATCCAAAACAGAATTCTTATAATTTTGAAATGCTTATGAATATTATTGGTTTGGGGATCATTAGTGCCTTACTGTTTTGCTGTACAAAGAAATTATATATTATGTGCATTGTGATCCAGAAATAAACAAATAGAGATTTACGTAGCTAAGGTTAATAGTTTTCAGTGGAAGAAAAGCAGTTAATGTACATGCAAATCTCTGTGTTAATTAAATCCTACTTATGTCAGTCATTTTAGCATGCTAGACTCATCTGTTCAATGAAATCTTCAGATTTACACCATTGTGTGTGTATGTATATGTATTTTCATGTATGCATGGTGCAATTATGAGGTATGCAAGTGACCATCTTAGAGAACATGAAGGTTTTTAATTTTGTCTATCTTACAAAAAATGAAAAGTATGCATTTTTTCTAGTAAAATCATTTAACAAAACCATTTTTAATCATCTGAAGAAATGGTATTTACTTACCATAGGATGTTAACCTCTGGAAGGAGTGGAGTTCAGTCTTTATCCTTATTTCATTAAGGTTAGCATGTGAATCTGTATATCCTATCTACTGGCTTTGGAGAGGTAGATAGTTAGCTGACTGTTAGGGTAACCTAGCCAGAAGTTCACCATTAAACACTGTTTGCTTTACAGAACTCTACTTTATCAGGCACGTAGTGATAGCAGTGGCAGTGTGAAGGAACTGTGGGTTGCCCTCCTGTTCTGTGAGGGAGAGTGTGTGTGATGTGGAGCATGTGCTACAGCAGGAACACTTGTGTTCTCACTGCAGGTAGTCTTACCTGAATTTCCAGCCACTGATGTCAGTGTTCAAGGTTGTGCTGTGAGCCCTAAGAGGAGGAAGAATTATGGTGGCTTTCCTGAGGAAAGAATAAGAGAACCACAAGCATGTCTGGCCATTACCATCTTGGCACTTCAGCACAGTTGATAGGGGAGGATGGTCACTGTTGTACCTACTTATCTCCCTGTCAAAACAAAGGATCATCTCAAAGTAACAGAGCAGGTCTCTTCCATTACATTCATTTCATAACGGTTTTGGAACTGTTGCAGTTTTGACTAATTCCAAATAGAGCAAATCAAATAAGTTTCTGTCATCTAAATGTTAAAAGCTATTTACCTGATGGATCTGAAGTCCAAATTAAACAGCCAAAGTGACCAAGTTATTTTAGTTCCATAATCTCTATCCTATTTTTAGATTAAATGTCCTTCTTATGAATCATAAAAAACTGAATATGAATGCTTGTTACGAATCAGTTTGAGGAATATGAATTTTTTCATAGTTGAAATATGTTTAAATCAATGATTTTTGGTTGATCTGCCTGTCAGATAAGCATCTGACTCAGATAAACATTTTATAACTCAATCTAAATTTATTCAATTTGCCAAAGATTTTCACAGGTTGAAGCTTTTTGTTTATGGCTCTCAGGTTCTGCATAAACATATATGGGATTTAAGAAGTTACAGAGTAATTTTCCTCGAGCCTCGCATTTAAGATTCTGGTATAAAAGTTTTGATGCACTTGACCAACTAAGGATTTCACAGTAAAACTATAATTATTTAATACCAACTACAATTTTTTTTTCTTGATATATAAAAAAAAAACAACTTTAGTATTTAGATGTTATTGTGAGATGCAGTTAAGGTCAGTCGAATTGACCTCTGTAAAAATGGTGAGCAGTTTGTTTCCAGTGGTACTTTAATTTCACATAATTGATTATTTTTTTTTCTTAATAACTTGCGTGCCTACTAAAGAACACTCGTGTTCCACAAAATGATCTATAAAAATGAATTTGTGTTTCACCTGAACACTCACGACTTTTTTCCTCATGTATTTTTTGCCAGTTATTCACTTGACTGCTCTGTTATTCTGTGAATTCTCTAACTGTCTCTGCTGCCTTTTGAAGTACGGATCAGGTCATTCTAGTAGCACACCTATGACTTGCTATTCTGTTCCAAGGCTAACCTGAGCACTGGATGCCAACAAAATGTCATTTGTTTTATGATGTGTATGATGTTAGGGCCTGTGTAGGAAGTACCTCAAAGCTGTATTAGCTGTTCAGTATTATCCAGGCAATATTCCTAGACTATGGTGAAAAACTCAAGCCGAATGATGGAGACAAGACTTTCCCCTAAAGCCTACACCTGAATGTTGATTTGCATCTTGGCCCTTTGGGCACTAGGCAATTAAGCCTCACTTGGGCTCAAACACATTACAGAAGTAAGTAGTATCTTTACAAAGCCTGTTTCTTTTTTGTTTTCAGAGATTACAATGGTTGACACAGAAATGCCGTTTTGGCCCGTTAATTTTGGAATTAGCCCAGTGGATCTGTCTGCGATGGATGATCATATGCATTCCTTTGACATAAAGCCATTTACCACTGTTGATTTTTCAAGCATTTCTTCTCCACACTATGAAGATATACCTCTTGGAAGAGCTGATCAAACAAGCATTGATTATAAATATGACATCAAGCTCCAGGATTGCCAAAGTATGTTTTTTATTTTTCTATATTTCTTTGTGCTCACATTTGCTTCATTCTCTAGAAATTGTACCACCACCAATTGGATGGATTCAGATGCCTAAATGCACAGATTATAAATCCAAAAATCAGCAGATATTCATGTGATATTATGATACGGCAACCTTCACTCTTCTAGAGTAGCCTCTAGTGACTACACAAGTTGTCATATAGTAACACCCAGCATATGTAACATATTAATTAATAATAAATTGAGCAACAGGCTAAGAAGCTGATGAAATGGAAATATTGGCTGCTACTGTGTTTGTAAAACTTTTATCAGTCTTCCTAATGCATACATAACCTCAAAGATTTGTGACATAGTATTTTTTTTTATAGTACAAAACACCAGCATCTTTCCCCAGTTATGTAAAGATAGTACACAGAATTCTTCTTTACAGGAAAAAAGAAAAGTAGTCTACTCTGAAATAAAAGTTGCTATTGCATTCCTACTCATAGTAAGAAGTCAGATTGCTGTGTCTGGAACTTTCTTAAAGATCCACTGAGTCTATTTAAATCTGACATCACTTTTGTAGGAATCGTTCGTGAAATTCTGGCTAGGAGGATTATACTATTTAGTTTTGGTAATAGAAGTACACAGTACCTGGTTCTCTCTGAGTTATTTATGAAGTGAATTAAAATACACTTGTACTGCTAATAATTTATTTCTCTTTTGCTTGATTAGAAAATCCCGTGGTATTTTCATAACAAACAAGAGAGTTGATTAGCTAAATCATTAGGCATGCTAAATGCTCACGGTCTTAGTGAGCTAACTTTCCTCTTCCTTTTTTCCTCTGGTTTCTGTAGAAAAGAAGACTTCCCAGTTTACGTAGTGTAGCCAAACAGAAAACAAAACGTTCATGTTATGGTAATACTGCACCTGTCATGTAATTCCTGAAGTGTGATTTGATGTAATGTTATAGTGTCAATTGTCCCAGCTTTCTTCTTTGACCAGCAGTGATTGATTTAAATATATCATATTTGGTTGTTTGAGCTTATCAATATTACAAAGTGCTTTCACAATAATTAGAAATGTTGGGAAGATTCATCTCTAGTCTGCATCCTAGGAGGGAGATAAATTTCATTAAATATACAAATTATTCACTGTGTGTTTATTGTATAGGTGTGTTTTCATGAGATTAGATCTGCAGTAGTTCTGAATACCTTAAGTAACCTAATTGGGTACTGAGAAAAGGAGTAAGACAATTTGAGTATGAGGTCTTCATGTGCAAATTTTACACATCTATAGTAAAATCATTCTGCACTACAAAGCTGGAAAGTGAATTTGTGATATGATTCCCATATGCCTCTTCAAGGCTTTCAGCTTACACACTATCAGTGAAATAGCTGCATACAACTTCCATTTCCTTTGTTTCCTACCATCATTTTGTATTACAAAGCATGCCTATGAATCTGGCTGTGTTTACTGTGATTGTTTCTGATTCTTCCTTGCTGCTTCTTCTACCATATATTTAATCGCACTTTGAATTATTCATTTAAATCTTCTCTATATGCAGGTGCAATCAAAATGGAGCCTCCTTCTCCACCCTATTTTTCTGAAAAAGTGCAGTTATACAATAAACCACATGAGGAGTCTTCCAACTCATTTATGGCTATTGAATGTCGTGTGTGTGGGGACAAGGCCTCTGGATTTCATTATGGAGTGCATGCATGTGAAGGTTGTAAGGTAAGTTGTCACAAATGTGTTTTCTCTGAAGATTTAATACTATTTTCATTTAAATAAGTTTGCAGTCTTTTAAATTGTTTCATACACACTACATATACTGTAGTAAGTGGCAGTCTTAACATGTTTGTTTTTGTCACTTATGTTACTGATCTATTTAAAATCTTTGTGCACTTCTATTTTTGTTAATTATAGAGTTATGTTCCTTTCTTGCTGTCTTGGAGATCACTGGATCTCCATGAATTTGAATTCATAAAGCAAGCTTATTTTGAATTTCAAACCTCAATACTCTAAGCAATTTAAAATTCAAACTCTATTGTTAAGACTCATTAGAGTTCCTGTACCCAATTTACACATTCTAGGTGACTAGAGAATAGTCCAATGAAATTAGAGAATGTGGCTATCCACTTTAAAACACCACTGACTTCTTTTGATGGTTTTTAGTGTCTATAATAAATAAAGGAAAGTGAAAATTGATTGTCCTCAAGAATGAGAAGATAAGAACCAGAGAAAGAAATTACATTAAATTCATTGAGTTAAAAAAAAAATTAAAAATACGCATTTTAAATTCAGGTTGTTGCTATTTTCAATAATCCTGAGGATGTTGAAGTGATAGTAAAAACCCAGTGCAGACCTGAACTAAAATTTTGAGCGCTGAATTAGAAATATATATAAAGCAGTGAGTGTGTTGTTGATTGGCTTACATTACAGCAAACCATATGCACATGAATCAATATTATGCTTTTATTATTGTATTTATTCTGTATTTATAACTGTTAGAATGAACTGAGGAAAAATTGAGATAATCTTTATTCATCACTTATTGTTGGTTTCAAAAAGTACTTTTAGACTATCAAAAGACAGAACTGTGAATTTCCATAATGATATCCATCCTTGTAAGACCTCATAAGATTTCAGTTTAATAATTACCACGACTTTGGTATCAAGTTTCTGGTTTTATTCACATGCCTGTGTACTTTGCAAACTTGTAAAATCCAAACAACAGGATCAAACTAGGAAATAAAATCTTGAAGATAGAACCCAGAAATACACATTGCAAAATTAGGATAGCACGGTGCCAACAAAAAGAAATAGAATAGCCACTTCTCCCATGAGCCCTAAAAGGAGCCTTACTTCTCTTCTTCAGTTTCACTGTTTCTGTAGGATTGTCAATTTGTGATAATACCATCCTTTCAACCCTATTCATTCCCGTTAGTTTTCATAGATTTTTATTTTCTAGACTATTACCCATGTCAAGGTGGGCTGAAAATGGCTAATAAGTTTAGAATGGGAGCATGCTGCTATGCAGATATGAACACACGAGCATTGCTTTCTTCAGAAATCTGTCTAATACAAATTTAGACTCAGTGTGCATGCAGAAATGTGCTTTGTATGCCTATACAGAATTGAGACAGTGACGTTGTGTGTTTAATGTCCTTTTACATGTTTTTATGTTTGTTACAGGGCTTTTTTCGAAGAACAATCAGATTAAAACTTATTTATGACAGGTGTGATCTTAATTGTCGCATCCATAAGAAAAGCAGAAATAAATGTCAATACTGCAGATTTCAGAAATGTCTTGCAGTTGGAATGTCACATAATGGTAAGTATATACAGCATATTATAAAACAGTAGTGCTTGTTTTCAAAAATAACATGAAGCATGTATCTGTTTACTGAGTTTGATGCTCTGATGTTTTGAGCCTTCTGTTTCTTTATACCAGACACTGTAGAAATAGGTATCAGAGAGACTGCCCATGTGTTTAGTAGAGTATGTAAACAATTGGAGATTAATTAACATAAAAATCAGATAGGTAAAGATTTGCACTTGTCACTGTATACACAGTATAACCAGTGTGTTGATTTTGCTCTCTGTCATTCTTGCTTATTTCACATATTCCTAATGTAATTTTTTTTTTCAGCTCATGGTCAAGCTGGTAACCATAGCTCAGTACCCCTTTGAAAACTGAACTTAGTTATGAAATATGGAGTAGAAAGTTTATCAAAAGTTTATGAATAACAGCACCTTAAATTTGATGCACAAGATGCTTATCCAGGGCAGTCAGCATTGCTGAGTTCACTTTTCCTTGGAACACAACATACTTTGAACAAATGGGCCATATGCTGTACTGTTTTTTTTTTTAAAAAAAGAAATAAAATAAAAATAAAAAAACAACTGTCCTCCTCCTCCCGTAGGATACCCACATCTGGGCATAGATTCCAATGTGTGGTAAGTAGGAGTATAGTGTTTCTTAGCATGCTCATTCAGCTGTTGGCCTCTCATCATATAGTGTGTATAGCTGTTATTCCTTTGTACTATACATTGTCTGACCTCCCATCATACAGAGGGTAAACATCCTCTCCCATCTGTAAACTGTAAGCAGCATTTCCATTTTGTATATGTTCTAGTCTTTGCTTGCAAAGCTGTATGCAATCGTGTATGGTTCTGTGATTGCCCTCTTTACAGTAGGAAAAGCAGTGAGCATTAAGCGTATCGCTATGCTGCTCTCTTGTATACAATATAGAAGAAAATCTCTGAATTTTAAAATTAACAAATCAATTCATTTAGAAATACTTACTTATGAATGTTTAGACAGAAAGATAGAAATGATGAAGATTCTTTGCTGCCTTGCATTGGCAAAGCTTAGTAGAAACAGGAATTAAATGTCATAACATGGAGACTTATGTTATTCAAAGGGTAAAGAATTGCAAACATGACTGGGAAAATAATTTTTGTGGTTTTTTGTTTTTTGGGCTTTTTTGAACTTCCATTATTTTCACTATTAAAAAAAAATTACAGAAATGAGTGCACTGTCCCCAAGAGGAAGGCTTAACTGTGATTTGTGATGTTAGTGCACACAGTGAATGTAAATAGAGACGGGAAATGTTTTGCCAATAGAAAATATGGTTTTCCAACCCTGGGATGCAACAGTAGCTCTTAAAAATAAAACTAATTTTGAAATGCTACTGTGGGTATTTTTATAGTGATTCAAGACTGTTCTGTTATTATTATTTTTTTTTCAAGGTGAATGCCAGATTCTCTCATAAACTAGCAACATGGTTTCCATTTATATCAATGTGAACCATGTGCAGCCCCATCAAAAAGGGGAACGTTGAGATCATCATCTCTGCCTTAGCAATGCGAAGGGCCCAGGAATAATTCTCACCAGCTAATTCTTCTTGGACAGCCACAGCAAGGAAGAAGCATTGGCACCTGCAGAGATCATGGTTGTGAGGAACAGGAGAGGGGAATAGCTTTGTCATTTTTTCCCAGGGCTTAAAAGAATGCTTTCATTGACTTTTACCATGAATTTACTTACCAAGGAGTTATTAGTGCTTACCTTCAAGTGTTAGCTTCTACATTTGTGTTTTTTGCCTGCTCCGGTAACATCAGATCGTATGAAGCAGAACCCTCCTCCTCCATCATTTATAAACAAACACATATCTAAAAAATAAGTAAGATTTGCCTTTGAAGACAGAAGTCTCCATAAAGAAACGTGCAGAAGCACAACACTGAATGTTGTGAATGGCACCGAGACAGATTCTAATGTTACATTTACAGCTTTAAGTTGGACAATTTGGATAGTGAAACTATCTGATTTTTAAATGCTTGGAATCAGAATGTGGATTCCTTGCCTGAGGGTTCCTCTCTGGCTGTCTTTGCATAGACACATTATTGCAGAATGAATAGTTAGGGCACTTAAAAAAAAACTGGGGGGGGGGGGAAGAGGGGGGAAAATGCAAGGAGAGGCTGAGCAGCTAACAGCCACATTTTTTCATGTATAAATGCTACATACCACTTAGCTGAAGGTTAAGAAAGACAGTAGTGTTCTCATGCTTTGGATATTGTTTTCCTTTCCTTCTCTAACCACAGTGCTGCTCTGTGTTTAACCCTCAGTTGCTCAGATTGCATTCTGAAATACCACTCAGCAGAACTTTCATTCTTTTATTTTAGAAATGTTACTAGGTTTGTGTTTTTTTTTTTTTTTCCTCTGGCATTTAAAGATATTATTTATATCAAGCCACACAGTGTACTGAGAGAGCACACATGACAATGTATCTTTATTGTCACTTCTGGGAGTAAAGAAGTAGATGGTAAAAGCAGTCACAGGAGGGAGGGAGAAGCAGTAAAGAGGGAAGGTCCTGTGACTCACCTAACAGAACCCTGAAATTTTCCTCAGCAATCAGAAGTGCTGTGAACTCCTCTTACCCACTCTGTGAACTCCTCTTTTTCTGCTTAACTTCCACAAGTATTGCCAATCCTTCCTACTTCTCATCTCAACCCAAATTCCACTGCTGTTTCCCACATTCCCTCTGTAAACCCACTGACCTCTCCTTGACTTTATCTCAGTCCCCTGAAAACAACGACTTCTCCAAAACAAAACTACTAGGCTTGTACCACAAAATTGAATTTTGACCCAGATTTTGCCTGCTATGATAATAAAAACTGAACAATCTACTGTAATTAGTATAGTATTTATAAAATATACTTTAAATGTTGAAGAACATACTTATATTTTAAAACTATGTTTTTGCCTGTCAAATTATAAGTTAGAAATTTTTGATTCACAACTTTCTAACTTTTTGTTATTAACAAATCATTAAATTTAAAATATACTTTTGGATCCTAGTGACCTTTTGTTTAGGAAAATTTATGAATTTCATCACATTTTATCATTTCTGTGACACAGGGACAGCATCTAAAGGTGAATCACTTCTATTATTAAATCTTAAAAATATACATTTAGAAAAAAATGTAGGAATGACAGATTGCTAATAAACATACAATCCACCACCTAAAAATCTCTACATATTTTTAAAAGTTGCATAGCATACTTTATTCCAAGTTTGTTTTTCACACGCTAAACACAACAAAGTATGAGATATTCCTGAGGTATTTAATTATTGGTGAATTTTATTATGTGAAAGTCTGATATGATGACAAGCATTAAGCTAGACCCTAAAGATGAATTAGTGTGGAATACTGTAAAAGCCTGTTATCTTCTAGGGAAAGTAAATTCACTATTTGAAAAGACTTGATTCTATCAGTTGAATGTCAGCTCTACTGATTTTAGTGGCTGTTTTGTTGAACTGATGGATAGTGCTGCTCAAGTGGGTTGTTAAAGCAACAACGGATGAGATAGTCTCCCTATACCATTTTTATTTGCTACTTAAAAAAAAAAAAACACCACAATAAAGAGTAGTTTAGATTGATTTAACATTTGACATAATAGCTTTCAATAGCATGTATAAGCTTTGTTGTATCTGAATGCAGCATTCAGACATTCAAGAATAGAAGCTAATGCTTAGAACTTAGTTCACTGTTCTGCAGTATGTGCTAATTTTCTTCCAAAGCAATCCTGACATTTTAGCAAAATGAACTTAAAATGATCTTTTTTTCTTTTTATAGAGAAGAGATGAATCTGGTACTTTAGGCAAGTTGGCATCATGATGCTGTATGCTAAACCTATGCCAAATATTCCTTAAAAATACATGCCAAATTTATATGCAGCTTTTTTCATGTATCAATTGATAGTTCTCCACTGTGTCAGTGAGATTGAACTCCAAAATAGATTATACATGAATGTGTGAGTTATCTTACACCAATGAAATTTACTGGGCTTTGTACCTGCATATGTAAAAATTAGACATGTGAAAACGAAAAATTAGGTATGATTCCAACAAGGAACAGTATTGGAAAAAAACCAGCATAGCAAGAAAAAAATAATTAGTTTTTGTAGCACTTTTCATATTGAGGTCTCTAAGCATTTCCTATGCAAGTATCATCATCACAAGGCAAATAAGAATAAATGTTAAATTAAAGAGGACATCTGCCTAGAACTATTAAGAGTATACAAATGTATGACAAACTCCAAGTTAATCTGTAAATTAACCGAAATAATTTTATATTAGCACTAGGGCTCATCACACATACTATTCAAAGGTAATTTGTTGCCCTTTGTTGGTCATGGATGAGTGCATCATTCTAGAACACCCTAAGTTAATTTTCTGTAAGGAAAATAAATCCAGTGTAAGTTGTCTTTTATTATAATTCTGTTATTGTAAAGTTTTAATGGATAATTACCAACAATTTGCTATTTAGTAATATCAACTTGCTAGCATGAATAACTGTAATTGACTTTCCAAGAGGCAAGACAAAACTATACACAGAATTCAGGTTATATGGTAAGGGGCATATGTAGAAAATCATAGTAAACATACTATGCTGTCCTTTGACACTCAGAACTCATAGTAAGCCTGTTTCATGCTACACTATCTGTGCAACAGTAGATAGATACAGTTATGTGGAAAATTGCCATAAGATTTTAAAAAAAGAAACTACTGCCCACCCTCCCACCCCCAAATTTTGAAAACATAGATACGTACTTAGGAAAAAAAAAAGTTGCTAGCCTATGTCTGAATTTCCAGCAAGATGTTTGTTACCAGCCCTTATTCTTGAAAAGAATAAGGTATACGTCTTCATTATTCTCTAATAACAAAACAGCATCTAGTTTGAAAATCCTCAATCATTTCAATAAAATCTAACAGTACTATTTCAGTGATCAGTGCCACAGTTGGTGGATACACTATGCTATATCATCAAGAATTTTCTAGTAAGGATTTAACTCTTTTAATTAAAAGAGGAGGAAAGAAGAAGGTGGGGGGAAAAAAAAAATCTATTGTTTTCAATGCCTTGGGGAAGTATAAAAATTATTTTAGAGCTAAGTTAATATTAAATCATAGGAAGGGGAAGCAATATACCATCTTTTTTTTTTTTTTTTTTTTTTTTTTAATCCCTTGTTTTATTCCCTTATTTGTACAAAATAACTGTGGTGAAAGGGGACCTTGCCAGGGAGATTCTAGATTCTGAGCTTCTGCAAACCCTGAATTTCCAGAACAGAATCATGTTACACCAGAATCATGTTTCATACTATTTAGTCAGGCTCCATTTCTGTAGTATTTTAAGAGTTACTATGCTTACAGTGTAAGTTTATAGAATTCATATCAGACTGTTAAGTATGCATGATTTATTATAAACGTAAAGGTATTATATATGATGCTGTAAGCTTATTTCATGTAAAATTTCAGAACAGTCTATCATAGTTTATTATAACAAAATACTTTTCTAGCCAAAAGCACCTAGCTCCTGGTAGAATTATGAAGTCTTTCAAAGGACATGTTTCTTTTTTTTTGTTTTAGAGTTGTTAAGTGTTTGTTGTGTATTAAGAAGTCCTTAGGTCACACTCAACATATTTCAGGGAGTGATGAGCATTTTAAAGACATAAGCAACTCATCTCTTTTTTTTTTTTATTTATTAACAGTCCTTTATATGAGGCTAATATTTGCCTTGCTTCACTTTCCAAATTAAAAGTTCACTGTAATAGTCCAACAATTCTTGCTAGACTTCACTGAAGACGTTAGTTTGCAAGTTCTTCTTAAAAAGACAACTACGAGGAGCTGAATCTATTGCCAGTACACCAATCAGAAGCATCAAAGTATTGAGGCTTTTCTATTGATGAAGCTGTTCCAAATACACGTTTGAAGAGTGGTCCAATCTGAATCGTAGAATAATCTAAGTTGGAAAAGACCTCAAAAGATTTATCAGGGCTTTTGAGCCGTTCTAGTATGTCATTTAAAGAAGTTCATCATTTTCTGTAAATGGTTTACTGTTAGCATCGAGGTGGACTGGCAGTGATGTCTCACTGAAAAGTAGCTGATTAGTAGTTAGTAGCTGATTAAGAGTGCTCAGTATTCCTTAGAGGAGAGGAAAAAGTGCAGTGGTAGGTACTATCTAAAATTATCAGTACTATCAGTTGGCAATCATTCAAAATTTCCCTCATAAAAAGCAATAAGCAACAGATATTTACAGGAAAAAAATAAATCACTGTTAATTTGGTCCTACTGGACTAAGTTTTGTTTCAGACATTTTCATTCTCATAAATAAGCAATAAGAATACCCTCAGAAATGAAACATACAGCTTGCATCACTCAGAGACCAAGTTTACTGGAAGAGAAAGTAGAGTAGTAAAAAACAAACAGAAAAAACCCACTGATATAAAAGAATTGATCCATAAATACAGTAAATGCTATGTTTTAAATATAATTATTTATTATTGGAAAAGGTATCCTTTTTTTCATCAACACACTGCAAGCATCCTGCAAGCAGGAAAGTAGCTGACAATTTCCAAAATAAACATCCCTAGTGTAATGGTGTGCATGACCTTAGGAACAACTTGTTCTTATCTAGGGAAGGCATTAAGCATTGAAAAAATATTAATAATATTTCTCTTTCCTCCTGCAGCTAAAAATGCAAACCTTTATTTCTTCCTTCTGTTTTTTTTTGTTGTTGTTGTTGTTGTTTTGATGCTCTGTTTTGTTTTGTTTTTTTTTCTACTGTAAAATAAGTCCTGTTTACTGAAATACCATATAATAAATCAGTCTTGATCTTGATGGTTCATTTGGACTATTTTCTAAGCCCATCTCTGTAAGTATAAACAGTGACTTGACTATTATGTACATAGAGGTAAAACTGAGAGGTTTACAGCCAACCCTACAGATATGTAAAGGAATTGAGATCATACAACCAGTGGAAACCTTTGCTGTTCTTACAGTACAACAATCACATACAGTTGTGATGAAGAACTCAGGCTTTTCATAGTTTTTACTCCCTGTACTTATTTTTTTCTCATTCTTTAACTATTTTGGTAATATTTTAAATCACTTTATACATTAAGCTCAATTGAACTATTTAGGAATTCATTCCTGCAAGGCATGTGAGTGTTTTGTTTCTAAATGAAGAACCTGAGATCTGTGTGGTGATTTGCCCAAAACAATCCAAAGCTGAACAGTAGTTTCTATCCTGAATAAACTGAATTTTAATATCTTAAAGACTCCTTATATTTGATTTAGGTTGTAGGTAGAATCAGTGGTTTTCTCTAACTCAGACTGTCCAATGGACTGGCAATAATTCTTGCGTTTCAGAGCATGATATTGAAATAGAACTATTTGGGCACGTGTTATTTTCCTTTTGAGATTGGTTTGTTTACCTATCTTTGAAGCACTTTAGTATTTGCCTATATTATTGGAGAGAAAAGTCTTCCTCTTTTTTGTCTATGTATTGTTTTAAGAAAAAAATTGAGTAACTTGTAATAAAAGGTGACAGGAAAATAAAAATATCCATTTGTGGGTGCAACTGTAGCTATGGTAATTACTTGTCATCTTCTTCAGCCATCAGGTTTGGGCGAATGCCACAGGCGGAGAAGGAGAAGCTCTTGGCAGAGATTTCCAGCGACATCGACCAGTTAAATCCTGAATCTGCTGATCTGCGAGCGCTTGCCAAGCATTTGTATGACTCATACATAAAGTCCTTCCCTCTGACCAAAGCCAAGGCAAGGGCGATCTTGACAGGAAAGACGACAGACAAATCAGTTAGTTCCCTCTGTTTTCTTTTTTTTTTTTCCTTTTGAGTAAATGATTTACCACATTGACAACACATCTTTAAAAAGAAAAAAAAAAGAAAAAAAAAAAAATTTGCTGTTGGCAGTTGCATGTTTCAAGCTGAGTCTGAAACACAGGAAATGTTTTTAGATAGGATAAGTAAACATCATTTGAAAAAACTCCAAGTCCACCTAATAAAATACTTGAAACCGGTACAAGAATTTGAAGGTCATCTTAACCTTTTTGTATTCTCTGATCCATTCTTCCCGTTTTTCTTCTCCTTTACCAGAGGTTATCTTCCACACTATCTGTTTTAAGTGGCTATCTAGCTGTCAGCAATTGGTTGCTATACTATTCAAGCATCCATATTGTAGCATGTTATCATAGAATATTATCACTGCTGGCAATATTCTTTCTCAGAAGTGTCAAGTGATTCACAATGCGAATAGCATCATAGGCTCTAACTATAATGTTTATTCTTATGATACTCTGATGACTTCCTGTATTTAACTAGATGATCATGGATCAGTATTCTGTGCTAGTGCAAGTTGAATTTTAGGAGAATGCACACAAAAATCATTGACATAGAGAAAATTCATGGGTTCCTTTGGGAACTTCGCTGTCAGTACTTAACAGCCTTTTGTCAGTGGGAAGAAGGATGAATAAGATCTGATGATTGTGGTAGATTTTTTTTTTTCAATTTTATCACTATTGTGGTAACTAAAGATCAAAATGACATATCCCAAACTAGTAACTCTTAGTTTAGTGTATTTTCTAAAGTGAATAGCAGAAATTTTATTGCCAGGGTTTCAACAGACTCTATTTAATTTTCTTCACAAATTTCAAAGGTAGGAAAAGGTATTTCATTTTGTCCTTCTAAGGACTTCTGGAATCATAATTTGAATGTAGTTTCTAGTTTGGTTGCAGCCAAAAAAAAAAAAAAAAAAAAATCCACTTTAGCTATAGCAGACATTTTCAGTTTGAGTAACTGATCATTATGGTGTGTATGAAGTTTGAACTGTTGTCATTTATTTATCCTGCAGAAAGCTGATATGCTAAGTCTACTTCATGATCATTACTTTTTCAGAGTCTTTCCACTGCTTCCCTCTCTTTATCAGAAACATAGATTACTGGAAAAGAATTAACATAGCAGTTTAATTTATTTGCATTCTCTATGTTTTTGGAATAGGAAACATACTGCAAGTGGTGCACATAATTGTATATCTTGTTAACTGCCCTTCATCCTCCTTCTTTCTGTATTGTGCACTTGAACTACTCCTTGTTCATCATAAGCTTCATACTGTGCCATAGTGATTATATGTGCAATTGGCACATGAAATAGGAGGGAAGAAAGATCAGCCACAGATGGACATTCATCAGGCACAAGAAATTCCTCTAAGTGGGTATCATGGCAAAAAAAAAAAAAAAAAAAAAAAAAAAAAAAAAAAAAGCCAGCATAATGATTGAGCTAAAATACAAAACTGTGACATCTACCACCCCTCCCTCTCTTCCTAGAAAAGGTGTGTTGGAGTTCTGTGTTCAAATGACTGACCACTTTCACAGCCTCTGTCTGCAGAACTGTGGGAGTAGTAAACTCTAACTGCTGGTGGGTAGTAGTAAGCATCTTTGGGCAGTATCATGCACACTCAAAAGAGAGTAGCTATTTGCAGTTATAAAAATTCCATAAGAGTTTAGCTCTGAATAGACTTAAAAACTGATTTAATGAATTTGAAATAGAATTAGTTAATGGAAACTCCTGCAGTTCTGAGAGGATACTGCTGACTGTGTATAGAATGGTGTGGGTTATTTTTTAAATCTCTTCTGCAGCTTGAAGTGAATATAGAAAAGAATGAGCACTCACGTGAATAAGGCATTAAAATCAGTGATGATGAAGGATCTTAAATTAAAAAACAAGTCTCTAGTCCAGTTTTGTAATTCCTTGCATTTTAATTAGGCATGTTAACAAAGCTGTTAATATCAGATGTTTGGTCAGTGCAGCATGAACCATTTAATCATTAGCCCTCTAAGGAAAGATTCTTCAGGCAATTTCAAGGAATCCTCAATTAACCACTTATTTAAAATCAGAGGATACCTCTATATTCTGAAAAAGACTGTTTCCAGATCCTAACAAAAGTTTTCTTGGCATTACTTTTTTAATCTTCATTTTCAAAATTCTTAATTTTCAAAATTGATTTATTCCAAATGAATTTATTTCCCAGTCAGACTCATTCTTGTGTTCTGAATTGTGCTGTTGCAGTTTGTGTCATGGTATTTGTTTTCTTCCCCTACTGACAATTATTTTTAAGCTTATTTACATCCTAACTATGTTTGTGTATGTTTGGTGGCCCTGCTAGGCAGGGGGGTTGGAACTACATGATCCTTGAGGTCCCTTCCAACCCAGGTGATTCTGTGATTCTGTGATTCTAACCTTGTGATTTTTAAAGCGGTTAACGGCAAAAGGTTAAGTTTATCAGATAACTAATGCCTTTAATTCTGTATTCAAGTTCAGTGCTTCAAGTTTTATCCTTCTATAACCATAAAAAGAACCTAACAGCATGTGAAGTATTTAAAGTGGGAATATAGTGTCTCTCCACAAAAATAAACTGTATCATCAGAAGTGCAGACATTTTGCCAAACACTTACTAGTTAGATTTGGTATAAACCAGTAAAATTCAGGTAAGGGGAGTAACATTTTCACTTTGTGTGAATGGGTATTTGGAGCTTTGAATTATAGTGTTACAGAACTTCTGTAAAATGGGAGGAAAAAAAAAAAAAAACAGGGCAAAAAATCATGAATATTGTAAATGTTGTTACCTCCTTTACCTCCCACTCCTCCAGATAAGAAAAGTGTCACCCAAAGTCCTATTTTTAACGTGTCGATTTACAGAACACGATAAGTCCGTAAGAATTACTTATCCTTTCTGTATATCATTTTAACATTATGAGAACATTTGCTTTAATAGGATTATAAAGATTTAACCCAAAAGTGACTACTCCTGATGCACTGCCCAGGTATTTCTAAGTGTTTTCTGATGAGTTATTCCTCAGTATGTTACTCCAATTTCTCAAGAGCCAAATGTTCATAGAAAAGACATGCAAGTAACCTGTGTTCTCCTTTCATTTTTAGCCATTTGTTATTTATGACATGAACTCTTTAAGGATGGGAGAAGACCAGATCAAGTGTAAGCATGTATCACCACTGCAGGAGCAGAACAAAGAAGTAGCAATTCGCATTTTCCAGCGATGTCAGTTTCGCTCTGTGGAAGCAGTGCAGGAGATTACAGAGTTTGCAAAGAACATTCCAGGTTTTGTGAATCTTGACCTGAATGATCAGGTAACTCTCCTGAAATATGGTGTCCATGAGATCATATATACTCTCCTGGCTTCTCTGATGAATAAAGATGGAGTTCTTATATCTGAAGGACAAGGATTCATGACACGGGAGTTTCTGAAGAGCCTGAGAAAACCTTTTTGTGACTTTATGGAGCCCAAGTTTGAGTTTGCTGTGAAGTTCAATGCACTGGAATTAGATGACAGTGACCTGGCAATATTTATAGCTGTCATTATACTAAGTGGAGGTAAGAGCTATCTTTTATTTATGATATTATGTAATAGAATTGACACTTCTAATTCCTGTCTGAACAGGAAAGTGCTCAGCAGTAAGAGATGGGAGTTTATTTGCAGGTAGTTTTTGGGTAGCTTTCAGCTTTCCTGGTATCGCTTGCCACTTTTTCAGTTTCATGCAGAAACTAAAAATGTAAATGACCTGATATTAGTGATGCAGCTGGACGTGTCTGCTGAATCAGTAGGTCATGTAATTAAATAAATCACGGCCATCTTTTGGAAAAAAGCAAAAAAAAAAGGACGAGTGGAATTTCACTGGCAAAACCTTCTGACAATTCAGCTTCTGAATGAGGATTTTTTAAACCTGCAGTTAAGTGTGGCTTACTAATTGAACACAAATAAATTTAACTCCATAAAATTTTCAAAATACATGTGGCATTTGGCTTACAGGATGGGTTTATTTTGGTTTTGGGTTTTTAATTCACACCAGGTTTTGTCCTCCAGTAGGTTTATTAGGAAAGTGTTCTGCAAATGCCTGAGAAAAACAGGCATTTGTGTGCCTGCTCTCCTCATCTTTCCAAAGCTGCTCTGTTAGTGTTAATGTTGTACTTTGAGCAAACGTGAATCTGAGAGCCCAGGTATCGTGCTACATTCATTCTAACACTTAATTATAATGACACTGGATTTTCAGCTTGTATTGGAGGCAATATATTGAAGATTTTTAATTACTACATTTTGCAAATTTACAACCCAAATGTAGTTCACTTAGAATCCTTTCTACCAATAATTTGTTATATCAGATATACGTTTCAGATCAGATTGCGGTTCTTTTGCTTTGGCCAATGCTATCAACTTGTGATGTTGCAGAAAGAAAATATAACCAACTCATCTGTGTATATTTTGGCTTAGATCGCTGGTGCAGATATCAATAGGAGGAATGTGCTGAATGTTCTGAATTCAGATCCTCCACAGAGCAGTGCAGAGTATTATTGAATTATGTTTAAGCAATCAAACACAACAACCTCATGCCCTTGTTCTAAAATCAAACATTCTGTTGATAGTGCACTGCTTGCTGTGCATAACTTCTTATACATTTAAATTCACATAAATTCTCTCTTGCTGTTTTGTTTCATTCAATAAAAATGTGGTATCTTAATATGGTTTATTAGACAACTAAAGCCATGTCAAATAAGTACAGTTCCCAGAAAATGTTTTCTTGAGCAAACCTTTGAACACAGTGATCTCTGATGACTCTGAATTAATTCAGTACAGAAAAATATGTTACTAGTATATTTTTGGTTGCATTTGATGGGGGAGGAGAAATTACACTAGCCTATTAGGGCACAACACGAAGCATGTCAGTATTTTGCATTTTCTAACATAGTGAAATTTAACAGATGAAAAACAGGCCTCTCAAAATGCACTCCTGATTGAAAAAAGGGAACTTGCCATCTGTGAAACTAGGTCTGCTATACTTCAATGATGTTTGGTTTGCATTAGAGGAAACAGGTATGATGTAACTAATAATACGTTTTAGATCTCAGGAGAACAATGATCCACAGAAAAACAATAATTGAGTGCTCTGAATCAGATTTCTCAACAAGTCTTTGTTATTTTAAGACTAGTTTGAAAACAGAGATCCATAAAGAATTACCTGAATGTTACTATTTAGCGCTTAAATCCAGTCCCTAAATGTGAATTTGTTCTCCTTAGAAAAATACATTAATTTTATGTAAGGTTTCTTACAATCTTTGTTCAGAACTTTTCTTTTTGAAAAACAATCATAGTTATTTATGCAAACTGAGATTCTATTTTGAAAATGATTAAGATTTGCCAACAGTTAGAGAACAGTTTTATCGTGTAGTTTAGAATTAGATACTACATATATTGAACTGTATGTATTCTGTGATATACAACAGGAAACCTATTTCTCAGATGTCTTAGATTCTCATGATTCTGTAAGAATTTCTGTAAGAACTTTTTGATTATTAACCAGAACCATTTCATTGAGAACAGTATCTGAAAACCAGTACATAGTACATCAAAGACTTCAGTAGCTCCAGGAATACTGTGATGTTTCAGTTACTTTACAAAATCCACTGTATAGGTATCGTATAAAGATATCCTACAAAATATGTGAGACAAAAAAATGATCTTGGCTGAATCCTCTCAGTAGATTTGTTGTACCAAACTAATGTTAGTGCTGCTGTCTACCTGAGTGCTATCTCCTATGCAGCTCTAAAGAGAAGAGGGAAGAGAAAGATCATTCCAGCTGGAAAATCACACACAAAAAAGTTTGCCACAAATCTTATAAAACCGTTCAACCTTTTGATATCAAAATAGTTGACTTTACATTATATGTGACAGTAACAAGAAACTGACAAATTAGCTGTAATAGCAACAAAATGAAAGTACTCCCACAGTCATTTTATTGTTTCTGAGATGCTCAGTGCAGCCACAGTTTGTCTCAGTGATTCCAGATGTTACTGTGAGCTCATTATTATAAAGCTGAAAATTGTTCCTAACGTCTGTGTATTTTGCCTTAAAATGCTGTACATGGCAAACAAATTCTAGTATTCTGAATTTAATACTGATGAAACAGAGATACTTTGAACTGTAAGATATTACCTTGTTCTTATGAAGGAAATACTTTATGCCACTAACAACAATTATAAAATTTCATTATGGCGTTCTTTTATTTACAGTAACTTTGAAAAATGTGTTTATGTAAAGAATAAAGTCTCTTCTTTTCAAGGCGACCTTCTTCTTCCCCATTGCATAACTCTGTGCCAGTGAGGCGTTTCCTCAGTGAGTGCTGAGTGCCGTGGTGAATATGTTAAAGCATCTTAAAGAATACTCTGTGTTAGAGAGCTCAAAATGAATTATAGCATAATAAGAAGGTTTAAGAAGTTGAATATCTGTTAATATCTGTTTGGTAATAGTCCAAGCCTTCTTGGGTTTAATCCGTGTTTATAAACAGAGAAAACTGGTTCAGAGCACTTGTTGTCAAATAAAGAAAAAGCTCAAAAGGTAATTTTATAGCATGTTAATGTATTGTGGATGGTCCTAATCTCCTGTAAATTATTCTACATAGTGTTTAGGATATAGTGGTGGTGGACAGCTCTGGTAGGGCACACCTGTAAAGTAGCAGACACTGTTAGTCAACTCACAGGCTAATATTTGCATTCAAAAAGATTGCTGTGTTCACTTTTATTGGTCTCTGAGCACTTTTCTTTCATACTTGAGCTGTGTTTAAGCTGGTTGTTTAACCACTGTATTCAATAATTTTCCTACAAGCTGAGGTAAAAAATAAAAAAAAAAATTGAAGATTTTTCACAGAATAGAACCAAGAAATTGTCCATATTTGACTCCCACAGAGATCCTGCTTAGCACACCCGTTACAATAAAAAAACTGCTTCCTAATCAAACCAAGAACTGCAGATAATCACTGTGGGCTTTGAACCAAGATTCTGGTGACTCCAATATATGTGACAGTCTCAGAAGAAAAACTCAATCTGCTGAATCCTATGTGCCTCAGCAAAAGCAGTAGTACAGTTATTCAGTCAAATATCTTTGCCTGCTTTATCGTATTAAGTTTTGAGAATGTATATTTGTGTGCAAAACACACTTTGTCAAAGATAGTAAGATACGAAGGTATGGACACAAGCATGCAGATTGAATTTTCCTATGTGAGGAGTAGAAAAAATTGCTGTTAATGTTAGGAACACGAAAGAAGCATGTATAAGAAAATAAAATCTTTTTCCCTGAGATAGTATAGGGCGTAAGTTTACACAAAGTCACACTGCTGAAACAAAACTAAAGGATTATCACTCTTCCCCAGCCACTGTGAACATTTTTCTTAGTTTTAAACAGTTTCCTGCAGAATTTTCAATGAAATATCAAGATGACAATGAATTAAAACCTAACAAAAAAACTGAGTAAAGAAAAGTAATAAGAAGAAATGAGGTGTGGTACTCTGAATGGATTAAGATATGTAGCAAGTAGCAGACAGTGAAAATACTCTGAACTTTAACAAACAATCTTCTTTATCAGATAGGCTTAAAAGTAGTTTCCAGTTGGCCATCCTCTCTCACTGTAATCATTTCAAGTCCTCGTCCTTTGGCATTCTTTAACTTAATTTCATTTTATCATAAGAATGTCCTACTACTATTCGTTTGTCTTTGTCTTCCACAGCCCTCATTGATTCACGTTGCAGTCTTCTCTGTGAGCTTTCATACAGCATATTAGATTCTGTCTTGGCCTCTCCAAAGGCCTCCACCACCCTGTCTCATCTAGTTTCTTCCCATTTCTGTTTCTGTCTACTCCAATCTAACTGTTTTTCAGGGCTCACTGTTAATCATTTCCTTTGTATTTTTTTCCACAAGGCACGCTTACCTGTAGTTTCTTGCATTTGTGTTCTCTGTCCTGCACAAAATACATTTTTCTTAATGTAAGCCAGTGATTCTAGAACATATTAACTAAAAGCATCTGAACAACTTGAAGTATTCAATAACATCTTGAAATAAAGCCTTTTGTCTCTTAGTTCCTTTTTCTTTCATATTTATATATGTATCTTGGAACAGAAACAGCATTTTCCTCTGTAAGAAATTTGTACTGAGAAAGTATGGCAAACTGTCAACACCCAAAATAATGTCCGTATCCTGAAGTTCTCATTCATGAAAAAAATCTCACTTGTTTTCAATGGAAATTTTCCTTCCTACTGAATGGGCCTATTTAAAAATAACTTCTTATGGTCTCCTAAGCTTTTGTCGTAGTCATCTTTTCTGACCATGGTTCAATTCAGTTATTACAAAACCATTTGTCTGTTTTTTATTTTTTTAAAAGAACTTTAGGAAGTTAGGTGCTTAAATCTCCCTGAACTCCAGTTTACCAGGGACATTTTTAAGTTCCAGTCTCAGCACTGAACTCCTGTGTTCCCTTCCTGGACTCTGAGATTCTCGCTAAAGAGCATGGTGTTTGAAGTGAATTTCACTTCTGAAATGCTCACAATCTAAAAATTCCCACTACAAAAGAAGCAGGGGGCAAAAAGAATAATCTCAGAGGAAATTGAGGCCACAGTCTTTTTGCTTCTTGATTTTTGTATCACTGAACACTGAGTCATATTCAGCCAGTTCAGAGTTGATCTGCAAGATGTAAGTAAAATATAAAGCTATTGCAACTCAAAGCTAAAATTATCAAACAGCTTTGAACTATTCCAAGCTTGGAATTTTCTGAAAGATCCAAAGAAAGCAACTGGGTTTTTTTTGCAGCACATGCAATCTTAAAAATAAATATTTGCAATTTTCAAAAAAAATCTCTTAAGTATTTTTAAAAAATGCCTTATTAATTTCGTTTATCAGTATTGTCAGAAAAGAACTGTTTGCTGGAGATGGTTTCCTGCTTGCTGATATTTCCAACAAAAAATGCTTTTATGATTCTGTGGTCTGTATTTACTTACAAATTTTCTGAACCGTATTTTAAGGTGTTACCAGTTGAATGGTATAAATAAGTGATCTCTGGAAGACACAAACAGCTTATTAGCATGAAGTTCCAAAGGGGAAGATCACTTAAAACAGAAGGCTATTGCATCATAAAAACACAGTCAAATAAATATCAAACTTGCTGTTATTCCTACTTCTGAAATACAATTCCCAAACCTTGCTTTTTTGAGCGTTAGCTGCATGTTCTTAATCAGTGCAGTATTCATGACTTTTGTATATTCATTTGTTTCCATGCCAGCTCTGCCTTTTAATTTACACTGTGTTTTTTTTTTTTTTTCTGATTTAAGTAAGATCTTAAATTATTTACAAAGATGTTTTTCCCCAGCCTTTTTTTTCTAATACACAACACAATTGCAGTTAGAGGTAGAATTGCATGCACAGAAAGGTTACTAAGATCATGTTTGAGAATTTCAAAATATAGATCAAATGCCCATTCTGAAAGGGAAGTATTTCCTTTGGAAAAGTAACTCAAGGCCAGCTATAGCCATTATTTGTTATTGATCAATCTGAAATTAATTCCATAGCTACACAGAAAATGTTATTGAAATTATTGACTTTTTTTTTTTTTGCAGAGTATTCTGATAATTGGGATGCTTACCCAGTAGATGTGAGGGTTACCATATGTGAGGATTTAATACAATAATAATTTATACAAGTTAGAGGGAAAAAAAAGAAAAAGGATTATGTTAAATAATGGAAACCTCTTAAAGATGGTTGGAGGGAGGCAGACAGAAATAAGAGAACATCTGTCATTATGCAAGATAATAATGATGACCAGTGAGGAAAGATTTACTTCTTTTTAAATAATAAAATATACCAAAGATAATCCCGGAGTCTTGCAGCCATTGCAGGCATGCTGATTTTTGTTGTAAACATCCATACCAGGTTCCTCCTTGTGGAGGATAAGTCTCTGTTGGCTGGAGCCCAGAAAAGGTTTTTTCTCTGCAAGCCACATCTATCAGTTCTTACTACTATAAGCATATGTGGCTAAGCTGATGCTAAAAGCTATCATGAGATTTCTTAACAGCAACTGGAACTCAGATGTGGGGAAGAACTGAGCCTGAATTTTTTAGATCTCTCCGATTAGTGTGACTGCATCAGTCTAGTTCTGTACTCTGTCATGGACAGTGTCTCTCTCAGAAGCTGAATTTATTTCTTTTTTCATCTGATAGTTTAGCGTGCATCTTCACAGGAAATATTTTTAATGGTAGTAATTGCGTGCAAATTCATTGAGTATATGTTGATTTTCTGAAGCTGGATTACAGGCTTTTTATCTTTCAATTCATGGTTTGTTTCCAAGATTACTGTGAAAAATGCATTGCAGTACTGTATAAGCCTATCTTATATGCTTGAGCTGTTTCTAAGACTAATTCTAAAACTTCTTGTAGCAGATTCTAGTAAAATCTTAAAATAAGTACATTAAGAGTTTGTCAATTGTCAGTAAATGCCATATATAAATACTTAATATAGACTAAAAGATTACTACATTAGATTGTTGTTACCATTTTCTTTATAGAAATAACCCCCTCTTCCCTCCTTTTTTTCCCTAGATCGCCCAGGTTTGTTAAATGTGAAGCCCATTGAAGATATACAAGATAATCTGTTGCAAGCTTTGGAGCTCCAGTTAAAGCTGAATCATCCAGAGTCATCACAACTGTTTGCAAAATTGCTTCAGAAAATGACAGACCTCAGGCAAATAGTAACGGAACATGTGCAGCTGTTGCAAATAATAAAGAAAACGGAAACAGATATGAGTCTTCATCCACTCCTACAAGAAATCTATAAAGACTTATATTAATGGCAATAGTAGTTCTTATCCTCTGACATAATGTATGTTCTTCAGATTGCACTATTTCTTTGAGAGAAAACTTTGCATACTTAAGAAATTACTGTGAAACAGCATTTAAAGAAGAGAGAGCTTAGTATAGTAGATCTATTTTATGCATATTGTTTATAAAGACACATTTACAATTTACTTTTAATATTAAAAATATCTATATCATGAAATTGTTGGCAGTATTTTCAGAATTAATTTTTTAAACTATCTTATTTCTTAAAATTGCTTGACAAGTATGATTGGTGCTTGCTTCACTATGGTTGGTTAAGCATGAAGTTAAATTTTCAACTTAAAAATAAAAATCTTTCTCCTTAAACATTTCCAGGGAAACATTTTAAGTATTATGTTTGATTCTGTGCTCCCGAGGCAGTGGCAAAGTAACAATGAAGTTGAATCATGGATTAGTGTAACTTCACACAAGAACTCAGAAGGTAAAATTAGACATGTCAGGTCTAGTACTTGTTCCTACCATTATATATTTTTACACTGATAGACTTCTGTAACAAGGACTTGGTATAAGTATGAATTAGGCCCATCATTTATGGACAAACTCAAAAACTTGACTCCATTTCAAGCATTAATTGAGGAATATGCATTGTTCATCACTCTTAGGAAGCAGCCTTGTCAGTTGCTCTGCTCATACAGTTCCAAGACAAGTGGTGAAGCAGTCTGTGTGGAGATGCAGTGCATCTGCCTCTCTGCCATGATCTGCAGTGCACACGCCACACCAGATAGTGCTAATGCAGCCTCCAGCTGCTCTGGGAAGTCTGTTGTTGGAATCGATTCACATAATACCAAAGTTATTTGAAAAATATATTCAGTCAAAATGCTATGGAAAATTGGGATAGGATGACTCCTCTTAAATAAAAGCAAGATTTGAATTCATTCTTGGAAACACAAACCTGTAATGGAAACCCTAGCACATTAGTTTGACTTGAGATATCATTATTTATCACTGGGAATGAGAATGCTTTTGAGAGGTTCAATGCTTTAAGATTGCTAATTTTATTTTATGCATTGCACTATAGTGTCAAACAAGATTTCCACAGGGAGCAAAGCATGGGAGAATGCAACAATTTGTTAAAAGGTAAATTTAGTTACATTATCTTCTTCTAGTATTCTCAATACAACTGTGAGATTACCTTAGATTCACATGTATTCACATGTATTGTGGCCACATTTACTGTTTGTGAATTATTTGAGAAACTAAAGCAAGTATGATCCACAGTGATGTGCTCAAGAACAGAATTTTGGAAAGAAAAAAAAGCCACTAACTGTAACACATATCTTTGAAGCAAGGAGTGGTCCTTTATTGAATACCCTTCGTTTCCACACAGTGACCAAGTTTTCTTTATTTAGCAAAAAGTGTGCCTTAAACTTAGATATTTCTAGTGGTGATATGTAAGCAGACCAAAAAGGAGTAGAATTCGGAATAGATGAGAAGGCACAATTTTCAGTGACTCTATATTGGCCTTCCTACCAACGTGGCCCTTGGAAATCTTAGTTGGTACAAAAAGAGGCTGTCAGAATTAAATATTAAAATAAATCTTTACCCTTATGCCTTACATAAATATTTCCTACTACTTATTTCAGACAACCTCTGGGCCTATGGTCAGTAGTAAGCATTATGCCTACCAGGAAGTGATTGGAGAATTGGATCATTCAGCCTCAAGGTTAAAAATCCACAGATGAGATTTCAGTGAGATGAAGTCAGTGTGAGGCTAAACAGCTTTGATCTTCACTAAGTTTCAGGTAACTTAGAAAAATTGCCTTAAAACAAATGGTGTGTTGTGAGTTAATGCTCAAATTGCATGTTTTCCTGCACTTTAGATTTAGGCACATGGCGCGAACTGAGCATTAGATTCTGACAGGGATTGCATGCACACTGATTTGTGGCTATTACCATTCAAAAGAAGTTGTTCTCTCAGGAACTCACTTTCAGCTGGACACTGGCCACTTGAAGTTTTGCCATCTACCACTTATTGGAAAACCTCCGTTTAATTGCAGAGTTCATCCTCTCCTCTAGGAGGACATACCAAAGACTAACTGGTACCAAGATAGACCACAGTTCTAATACCAAATTCCTATAATAGTAATATACTGTAAAAAATATTAAGCTGAGACTGCATTTCCCACAAAATCCAATTTCACATTGGAATCACTAGAAATGAGATACCAGAATTAGTTTTAAATAAAAGGGAATGCTGAGGCATATTCTTACATAAGTATTATTAAAAGTTATTTGAAAAGGACAGTGGAAAAGATGCATTGAAAATGAAATTAAATTAATGACTTTGTTACAGTAAGAATTTCTCTGTAAGTAAGAAGCACAGTAACTCAGAGAATATCATTCTACTTCATTGCAAGTGGTAATATTTTTGTGAGTAACAGTTTAGCAGTTGCACTTCTTGAGGATTTCAGTCTAACACAGACATATACAATGCATATATTTTGAGAGTGGTAATGTAATAGTTGTCATAATGCTCTAAGGATAAAAGACAATACAGACTTGCAGGAACAGGTATTATCCTTTATTATTATGGGGGGACTGAGTGCCCAAAAAGCCTATACTTTTAATTCAACTGTATAAGCTGCTTTAATAAAATATATCGTTCTCCCTACATCCTGGCTTCTCTTACATTTTGATAATTATTTATCATGTTTTCCTAAAGCCATGGAAAATATTAATTTTATGTGAATTACTAATCACAGAAATGTTCTAATTCTGAATGGTTACATCATGGTTAGGAAGTTTTGCCTAAAATACTTTTCTACAAGAATAGGTCTTAAGGGAAAAATGTTCATTTAATGGACAATTGCTGAGTACTAATTTAGAACAAATGACTGTTATGAGGATATGAAAACATTTTCTCAAAAAACAGTGTTTTCTCTTGTGAATTATGTTCAGAATTTTGATCTAATTGTAAATACTTATTGTTTCTATGGGATTTTATTTATTAAAAAACAAAACAAAACAAAACAAAAAAAAACTTGGTAATGGGAGTTTAAAAGTAGGTTCTAATATTTTCAGACTCTGGAGCTTTGGGTGGTATGGGCCATGCCATGAATGAACTATTTGGTTTTTGATCTTCAGTGCTACTATTAATGTTTAGCAACTCAAAAATAGAAACAGTCAGCTGGTTACGCCTTACTTTGAATAACTTCACTTCGCCTATGTTTTACTGTTCTTCCTTAGTCATCTATTCAGTATATTTAACATCTTAAAGATGATGTGCTGGGTGAGGTACATTTCCACAGGCTTTAAACCTTCTGAGCTGTTGTTCTGCCTTGCATTTTACGCTGCTCTGCTACTGGCAGTAGAGAAAAAGCTCAAGGCAAATCATGTGCAGAGAAAGTCATTGAGTATACCTGCATGTATCCAGCAGCTGTCTTCCTGCGTCTCTCACTATGTCAAACATCAACTAGTCAATGAAGTGTTTCTTGCAGAAGCAAGAAGTTCTTTATCTAATAGGAAACAGCAACTTCTTCAGACAGTGTTCACTGGTGACCATTTCTCTAGACAATATTTTTATAAATGTCTTAAAATGAAAGTTTAACTGAGACAAATACATTTCTAGCAAGACCATCATTACAGCCAAAGCAGTTGAGACCATTTTAATCACTGCTTCCATAACATCAGTGAAAAATAATGGAATTGTAGACTCTCCTAAGGTGGAAGGGATCCACAAGGAACACCAAGTCCAACTCCCAGCTCCACAGAGCACTACCCAAAATCCAAACCCTGTATCTGCGTGTGGTGTCCAAATGCTCCTTGAACTCCAGCAGCTTGGAGCTGTGCCCATTGCCCCACGGAGCCTGTTCCATGCCGAGGAGCAGGGCATGGAACCCTTTGACGCAGAACCTTTTCCTAACACCCTCCTGACCCTCTCTTGACACAGCCCTGTGATTTTCCCTCAGGTCCTGTCACTGTCACCAGAGCAGAGCTCAGCACTGTCACTTTGCTCCCTGTGAGGAGCTGTAGGCTGCCATGTCACCTCCCCTCTATCTTCTCTAAAGCAACCTCAGCCACTCCACATACATCTTGCCCTCCAGACCCTTCATCATTTTCGCAGCCCTACTTGGGACAATCTCCAACATTTTTATGTCTTTATACTATGGTGCCCAAACCTGAGCACTGTGCTTGAGGTTGGGCTGTGCCAGCACAGAGCCACAAGTGGGACATTGCCTTCTATTGCTCAGCTGCCAGTGCTGGGCCTCATACACTCTAGGGCACTGTGCTGACTAGGTTCAACTTGCCATCAACCAGAACCCCCCAGATCCCTTTCCACGGGGCTGCTCTCCAGCCTCTCATCCCAGTCTGTACATAGCCAGGGTTGCCCCATGCCAGGTGCCGAAGCCTGTATTTCGTCTTGTTAAACTTCACGCAATGGGTGATTGTCCAGCCCTACAATTTGTTGAGGTCTCAGCTTTTCAGTACTGCATAAAAGGAGGCAGTGAGTTGTGCGTATGTAACACAGTCTTTTCCTATGGTATGCAGCCCTTCCGTAGTCTAAAATACTGAAGCCTAGAAAATGGACTTCCTGTAACTGTTGTCATGACTTGTGTTACAGAACTTCAGAAGTTTTGATAGGCCCGCCCTGCCCTTTCACTTCAGCGTGCACGCTCTTATTCTCAGTTCACCATTGGTACAGTTAAGCCTTGAGGGATCAGGATTCAATATTTGATTTGCAATTGTGAACTCTGTCCTGGAGTACATTTTAATGGGACTTTTTCCTTTTCAATGATATATCATATCTCTCACTTAAATGAAGGTAACATCCACTTTGTAAACAAAGCAATACAAAGCTGCAGCTTGAGATTTATAGAAGGAAGAAAATATAAATGATGGCGAAAAAAAAAGCTACAGCCTCCTGAATCAGCAGCTCAGTCATACACCTGTCAAGTGTTTCAGCTTCTCTTTTAAGCATGGGAAGAAATTACATGCCTGGTCTTAAATCCCATTCCAACTTCCTTGCCCATGGTGTTTAAAAATCAGCTACATAAGTATGTCTCCAATTACATAAATACAGCAATATCCTTTCATCAGCACCAACTAGCTCTCAATGAGTTGGTAATTGTAACAAAACCAATTTCTGAGTTTCCGATTATTCATTTTTATATGTCAGATATAGATACAAAATCAGAATGGAGAAGCAGCACATAAAAGTTTTGCTCGCTAGCTTTCAGAAGAAAATCAGTAGCCACTGACTGACCCAAGAAAAGAAGAAAGTCACGGTTAGGGAAAGATTTTGAGGCTTCATTTGCAATATGATTATCTTGTCATATATGTGTGTCTGTACATAAGCAAGGACATATATACATAACATGCATGCATAGTACAGCTCCTAACCAGCAACCATTTATTACTAGTAGTTAGTAACCTGTGAGTGGAAGAATTTCAGACAGAAAAAAATTCCTACTTCTTACATTTTTGCTTGTACGCTCTTTGAGTTGCCTCAACATCTATACCACCTATTTTCCAGTATAAAAAAAACTATTTAGATGTAAATATTTTTACTTCTGCTCAATCTTTCATTATCTGACCCTCTATTTCACCAGTCCTCTTCTGTCACATACTTTCAAAGCCATATAAATTCAAATGCATTTCTGCTGAGATTTCTGGGAGATCTTGTTTGCTATATATTTGCTCAAATCTCAGTTTAGAGCTGGAAACTGGTATCAGCAACAACAGCTCAGGATATGGATGGAGACAGTGTCATTTCACTGCTCGTTAATCAGACCTGGCAAATGTGGTGAAACAGGCAAACAGTCTTTTTCAAAGACTGTACAGTGGATCCCTGTTGATGGAACCCTACTATTTGGACCTTACTGTTTTATATAAAAGCTGCACACTTGTGAAGATACCACTACATGCAGCATGTTATCTTTGAAAGAGACTTGAATCATACTTGTTGGTATGCAAGGCACCTAAAGTTCCTAAATGAGGTAAAGAGCCCTGCTACACTTGGCCTTGCAGAGACCAGCACCATTTCAAGTTGATTGCACACCAAGACAAGGAAAGCAAACGAAGGAAGCAGCAACTTCTCTTATTCCAGATCCACAGATGAGAAACAACATTCAGATCTGTACTCATTCCAGTTGCTTAGGCTGCCTCTTATAGATATCTACATTCACACTTTGCAGCAGCCAATTGCATTGAGACTTTGTACTAGCAAGAAGTTAAACAAAGACAGCAAACAGAGTCTATACTTTGATAGGCTTCCAAAATATGAATAGTTACTTCATTTCACACTCTTTTTCATGACACAGGTCTTTGTTGTGTCAAATCCTGTGCTAGGTTAATGCTAGAACATAGTCTCTGCCCTGAAACTCACACAGATCATTCAGCAGGAATTCTCTGGGCCCTCCCTATCATTCAAGCCTCTTTCAAAGCAGTAACTTTAGATCTTCAGGGTTGCATTGACCGGGACTTCTTTTAAATATGAGACTGATTTACTTCAACAGATTTGGGCAAATGGATAAACTCAGTTTTCAACTCTGGAAAGGGGCAAGGTTCTGATAATGATGTTACTAACTGAATATCACTTTCAGCTCTGTTTTAGAAATGGGCATGCATGATAAGCAGAAAAGCCTTAGCTGCAAATGAATATAGCCCTTTTAAATTGTTTAAGGGCTTTCTTTTTAATTATTAAGCTTCCTTATTGTGCTGGAAACGTCCAGTATTTTCATAACAGCATTGGCCAAGAGGAATATCCATTGCTCATTATATTATATGCTCTTACCCAACAAGGTTTTTTTAGTTCAGTAGAAACAGCAAGGGAAAACTGTACTCTCTAGAGGCAGGGGAGGGAAGGAGAAACACGCAGTACCATTGGTTCTCACACTGGGAAGAGCTGGCAGTGCAGGAGAAGATCTTGTCCTGCTTGCTGCAATGATGATTAAAGCATTCTGTTGTGTCAGCATATCCTCAGTTTGTTAGTGCTAACTCTCAGCTGGCCATATCCTGCCAGATTTGCAAGCAAAGCCTGCCAAGCCATCTCAACAAAAATGTAGCTTTAAATATTATAAATGATGCTGCATTTTACTGTGGAAATGTTTCCTGAAAAGGCTGTTCCAAAACATCCTTTATTGTTGGGGGAGGGGAGCAAAAGGGGCCTGGGAGAGGGAGGAGGGAGGAAAAAAGAGCTACTTTTAATAGATTTTTTTTTTTTTTTGAGGCCAGAGATTCATTTCACATCATTCTGCAAGACCAAATGGATATTTTTTTTCCCAGTAACTATAAAACATTACAGTAATAATTTTGTATGTAAGTTTTGGCAACTACACTTGGGGTGGGAGGAAGGACATAGGGCATCTTATTTTATAAGGGATTGCAGTGAGGGATTTTGCAACTGATCAGTTAGTAAAAACGTTTTGGTGGACATCTGCTTACTGGCAAGGGAGATCTCTCTTCTTCCCATTATATTAAATAGAAAATTACTGCAGAGTGAAGGAAGTTGCTCTCATAGCAAGGGCAAGGTTTGGATTCTAGACCCCCAAAAAAAGAAAGATTTTGGCCTGCATTTGATAACAGAATAATAGTATGGACTGTTCAATGAATTTCCACAAATTGGCTATTCTTATGAGAATTTGGTTCCTCTATATCCTTTTTTTTTTAGGTGTATGACCTGGACCTACATCCATGAGAGCTGATCTACACTTAATGTTCCAAACATTTGTGCTGACAGTCACAGAAATTCAAAACTATTGGAATTCAAAATTCCAAATTTTGACCCATCTGCACAGGAAGGTTCTTTTAGAGAGAAAATTGTCTCACAAAATCCCTCACTGTTCATCCTTGAAATAGAATAAAAGTGCAAAGAATAGTCTAGGTAGGTGTGTCTGAATTCCAATTATTCTTACTATTTCTTACTTGAAAAACAAAAGATGCAGTAGATACTTAGCTGAACATTTCTCCATGTCTTTTATATTTCATTTTTCTTTAGACTTCACATTTTTACCACATTTTCACTGGATTAATTTTAGACTGACAGTCAGTCAAACCTTCAGTAGCTGTGCTCTTACAAGCAAGATGTCGCGTTACACAAACATTTCTGCATCCATCTCTTTAATTCCAGACTCAGACTTTTTGCATATCCATGTTGAGGTACAAATATTAAGTATTTGTTGTATACGATTTTTTGTAATAAAATGGTAACAAGAATAATAAAGCCAGCCTTCAAGGAGCACTGGATTTTCAAGGTGCTTTTCCTTCGCAGGATCAATTTATGGAATAAGATTTCCTGAGTTATTTTTAAGTCTACACTTGCAGCCCAATGGTAAAAGATACTGCAAGTGACTATTAGAAATGGTTTAAAAATTATTAAATTCAAACACATTAAAAGGCTATTAAGTGAATCTCATCTTGATTGTGCATCTGCTACTGAGAAAAATGCAAATTTAAGAGGATGATGGAGAATTTAGTCACAGGGAGTTCTCTACTTTCATTGCAGTGTAAACTCTATGAAGAGTGATAACTGCAATTATAATTGTAAAGGTCCAGAGTCTGCTTGCAATTATAATTCAAAGCTGGTATAATGTTGTTAAAGGCAATGACATTATACCAGAATGAAACCGCACTGGATGAAATCATACTCAAATATGGATTTTGAAAACAATACAGAGGTGCAAAGGTGGTATGTAGCAGTTATTTGGATAGTCTAGGTTGGCACCCAGCAATAAAAATCCTATACTCATGAAGTGAATGCTTTCTCATGTAAACTATTTGCTGATCCCCATAAACATAACCTTTACTTTCCTCTCTGTGGAAGATTGTGAGGCACTTACTTGCAAGGTGTCATGTAAGTGTAGTGTATTTCTACCTTCCACAGCCACAATAAATTGTCATTACTGGAGATTATACAACTTAATACATATATTACAGGGGAGGAGAAAACAGGCTTTAAAGTATCCACTTCCAATGTCTATTGGTGATCTTTCACAGATGTTCTCTCACTGCATTTCGGTTTGTACATAGTAAAACAGTGTACGTTAACTAATAAGAAGCCTGAAACATAAGTAACCAAGTTGCATAGTTTGGTCCAAAACCTCCTGAATCCAGGGAAAAATCTCCAAAACTCTGATCAAGCCTAGAATGTGGTAGTTGTTCTTGTTTAGAGAAAAATCATACATTATATGAAAAATCCTGTTATAGATGATGTAAATGATTCTGACAGCTCTCAATCAGACAAGAATTGAAGTTTAGTAAAATGGACATGAGTTGTTCTGTGCCAGTTGATCTGAATGCTTAGGAGCTGGGCATGTTCAGTTCACTAGTATCATCACACCCTCAGCCTCCTCCTTTGGATGTTTCCTCATCTCCCATTCCATTTTTCATTTTCATCCAGATCAGCCCTCCTGAGCATTGGATGCTTGCAAAGGAGATGAAGCAAGGCAAAAGAACTTCAGGTATAAAACTTGCTTAAATGTTCCTGTCTCTACTCAGTTCTAATCTGTTTCTGTTCACAGAAGTGCTTCTGCTAGTCCCAATGATCTTCCAACCAGAACCTCCTGTAAAGCTGGTCTCCAGAGAATTAAATACAATAATGAGTTTTAGTTCCTTGACCATTACCACTCACTCTTCAGTAATTAATGAAGAAATACTGTGCCAGTGGGCCAGAGTAGGTTTACTGAATAAACCTCAACTCAAGTTCTACCAGAAGCATTCTTTCATATCCATGTTGCTTTTTGGTATTGTGTACAATGCCTTCCAAACCAAACACCACTCTTTGTAGACAGTAAGATCACTCACAAGTGGAACTCCCCACTATACTGTTAGGTGTGAGGAGTTTGGGTACTGTCTGTGTGTGTTAGTACTCACAGTGAACAGGATTCCATCCCAAATGGAACACTGGGGATACCTGTCCTAAAAATGGAGACACTTGCTAAGAAGAGTAAATGTAAAGCTTATTGAAGAAGAAATTAGACATTAAAAATAGGGAAAATCAGTAACAATACTGATTGAGAAGCAGTGCATCTGTGGTCCATAGATGGTGCAGTGCATCTGTGGTCCACTTTTGCCAGCACTGCCAACTCCAGGTTAGGCTGCCCAGCTGATTTTCAGTGACTGTGACATTTCCTTCTAAGAGTAAGAATCTTCTAATTTCCACTTGTAGGAATATGAGAATTCAGTTCTAGGCATTACTCAGATGAGAGAGAGGTGATCATGTGCAACGGAACACGTCTATCAGTTCTTCTCAGTTTGCACCTTTTCATATAGAAGTAACTGTGCAAGGCGTTGACTCTCGATGCAGACTAGAGGGCAGTTTGTGGCTGCTGCTGCACCCCAGATTCTTCCCATTGTCCCCAGTTCCTGTTCCCTGCATCCGGCCTGTGCCCTTGCTGGGCGTGAGTGTCTGTCTTGCTCAGAGTTATGATAGTTTGGTTAGCGGCCAAGGGTCTGAGGATACAAATTATAATAGCATTTCCTTCCCCAGAAACCATTGTGCCAGGGGACAAGAGCTATGCAGACCCAGCTGTTCCTGCCTTCTGCAGCTATCCTGAGGTCAATGGCAGCCTTAAGGCATCTCAGGAAGGAGCATCTTGCCAATTCCATAAGGCAGCAAACCTTGTCTCCAACAGCTCCAATTGTAAGAAAACTGAGTGAGAACTTACAGGCAGTTTTCCTGCTGAGCATGAGTGTACGATCAAGATTTTAAAAAATGATCACAGTGGGGCAGAGAACAAAGGTGGATTTCTACAAAACCAAATATAAATGTAATCCATAAAATAAGCTTCTAGTCTGTACTGGGACAAATATGAAACTGTTTAAAACTTCCATGACTGTATCAAGAAATATTTCCCTATGTAGAAATTTGTTTGGCATTTGTGAAAACTCTGGTTCAAGCTTATTTTTCTTGAGCTACAATATTGGAATCCACTTTTCCTCAGCTCTGGCAGGTAGCTAAGCCATTGCAGCATTTCTCTTCCAGTTGTTTTCTGACAGACTCCTTCTTCTTTGCATAAATACATCGCTGAAAGTTATAGTACTCATCTGGAGAGCAGAGCAGGGTCTTGAAACTTTTGTTCCTCACACTACTGGTGGGCATTTCAGCTCATTGGCCAATCCTTGTCAGCTGTTTGATCTTTCTCCTTCTTTACTCTATATTGTCAGATGAATAACACAAGGTCTGCTATTCAGAAGTGCTGAGCAACTTGACTGTAAATACTTGCATATAGATTTAAGAACCTAACTTCAGGCAGTGGTTTTGAAAAACTTGTGCAATTCGTATTGTGAGATAGTGTAGGGACCACACCATGTCTAGGAGACACAGCAAACATTCTCCTTTACATTATAAACAAACCTTAAATAAGTACTGGATGGAACTATTACCCAATGTGTTTTGTTGTTGTTTAATTAAAAAAATAAATGTATAAATTCCAAAGTACCCTACAGATTTTTGGAAAAATATTCTGTGAACAATTTTTTTTTTTCTTTTCAGTAAAATGACAGCAACAAAATGAACGAGTCCCATGTTACAGATCAGACAACGTTTCTTAACAGGATTTTAAAGCTTGTTGTTACACAAATGCAATTCCCACTGCCAAGAGTAAGCTAATATATTCTTGGCATGCTTGGTAAGTCTTAAATCACAGACAGTGGCTACATTCTGCTTGGTGTCCAGAACACAAAATTTCACTTCGACAGCTTCATGGTAAAGAGCTTCTTACTTGAAATAAGCCTTATTCCACAATGCTCACACATTAGGAGCAGACCTTCTCAAGCACAATAGGTATTTTGCGTGTGTTAGTGCTGCAGAATGTTGACATATGATTATATCTTCTGATTTTCTTAGAAATTACCCCACCTGCATTTTAATACTGCTGCTATAATTTGAAATGAGTAATTGCACAATGGATTAAGAATCCAGCTTGTCTTATTAGGCATTTTTATATGTCTTTCAAATGTGGTTTTAAAGAAAAAAATTCTTAAGGTCCAAGTTGCACCTTTACCAAAGAAAACATGTTGCTGTACTCAGACTATTCTCAGCTCTCTGGTTCTACAACAATATGCTTAACCCATCCAATACAGAAAGTAGTATTTTAGAAGTGGTTTTTCTGCAGACAGCTTAAAATGGCTTGTAGCAATCAATCAGAATCCAGCTAGATTTGTTTCACTGATTGGAGGAAGCTGGTGCTTTGAGGTTGTAGGTAAATGATTAGCCTGAGATCATCTAGAGAACCAGCTGCGTGCTAAGCTTCATTATCAGCTCCCCCTGAAAAATACACTGGCCATCCTCTCAATCATGATTAGATTTTAATTTATGAAGAAGAAAGCTAAGTAGGACCTTGACTTTAAAATTTCACTTCCCTAATTTTGTGTCTGCTTGAAAGTGAACCACTTTTTTTTTTTTTTCCCCCTAGTGGTTTTGTGTGCTGCTTTCTCATGCCTTGCTGAAGAGCAGGAGTGGCTGGATAACACGTGAAGAAGCACTACTCTAGTTTACCACAGGTCAGTGTAGCTGTTTAATTAACATGAAACCAAAATAGAACTGTTTAATGATATATTCTCTACCCAGTGTAATGCATCCAGACAATGGTCTAAAGCATGCTGCTGGACCTGTATTTGATAGGTCAGAATTACTGAGAGAAGAAGAGGAAATTTAAAAAAGACAAAGATTAATTTTTCATTGGCTTCTTTGCTGAAGTCTTTGCAGCAAAAGGTTAATTTCTAACAGATTCTTAGAACAGTTAAAACTAGCAATAAACTGGATTATGGAAAGTAAGAAAAGGATAGGTTAAGTGCATGTTCAGCTGGGCTACATATATTCAAATGAGCGAGCTGTAAGGAAATTTACCCTGGAGTATTTAAGGAAATAGCTGAAACAATCTGAACCATTAAATGTTTATCACTGAGAACTCATGGATCATGGAAAACAAGTGAGGTCTCAAAGGGCTTAAGAAGGACAATTTTATTCTTCCATTTTTGTCCCCTCCTCTTAAAGAAAAAAAAAAAAAAAAGACCATAATTATAGATTTGCCTAGCTTCAAATACCCAGCTGGTGTCTGATTTGTTTGAACTTTTGCTATTCAATCTGTCTTAAAGCATCTGGCCAATAGCAAGATAATAAGCAGTCCACATTTTTGTCAAGATTAAGATCATGCCACATTAATTTAATTTCATTTTTTGAGAGAATAAATGACCTTCTGAATAAGGAAGCAGTAGATGTGCTATAGCATGACTTTGCACAGCTGAGCATAAACAAGCCAGTGAAGCTTTGGAAAGTGAACCTATTATGAGTGCAAAAATGGAAGAAAACATATTTCTCAATAGTTTGCTGTGAAAAAGAGAAATCACACCATCTGGATCACGTGGGAGTTTTTATGAGCAGCATCTGCTTAAAAGTTTTCCTTAATTATTAGAATAACAGAATATACAGTGCATTTAGAAAATTCTAAAACCATGTCGCAGTGAGAAGGGAACTTATGTGTTCCAGAGCATAAGATTTTAATTTAGCCTGATCTTGAGCTATTAGAAGTTCCTGAAATCAGCACAGCGGTATTCAGGAAACAACAATGCGAAGTTTTACCTGTGCAAGAGAAACTGTAATGTACCATTTCAAATTGTGGAATAGTTGGCAGTGTAACAGTGTAACATGGCATTGAATACCTGGGTAAAGCAAATTGCAATCCCAATACACAACAGTATTACGTTGCTGTTGCTAAAAAAAGCAGGCACTGCTTGGTAGCCAAAACATCTGTTTGGCTGACAACTGAATCTTACCACCGTTACCCGTGGTTATTGAGCCCTTGAATTGAGTCTGATGGCACAGTCCTCTGGTGACTGCAAAGGACATAGGAAAGGGAAAGTGGGAAATATAAAGAGCTGCAAAAAACAAACAGCCTTATTTCATTTCTCATATAGAATGCGGAATTCCTTTTAAAAGAAGAGGTGAGGAAAATCATTCTCCCAAGTCAGTGGTAAACAAACCTCTAATACAGCCACTGTAGTCATTTGTGGATGGCATTTCAAACATATCTTTGTCAACGCTGGCTGACAATGCTTGCTTCAAATCCAGGGTATACTTTAGAGACAGCAGCGCTCTTTCGAAAGACATTTTGAAACCAGATGATTGTATTAATCTGTCTCTCCCTTTCTAATGGATGCTTAAACTAACCAATCTCTCACGCGTAGTCTAGTGTTCCCACGAATTGCTGGAGAGAAGGGACTTGATGTTCCCCAGTTCAAGAAAAAGCCTCAGGAAATTGCAAAAAGTCCTAAAAAGCCACAGTTTGTTTTCATAACATTCTTTTCCTTTTAGAGAAGTAATAGTTTTTAACATTCTCTCTGATATTTAAGGAGTTAATGGACAGCAATGATCTAAAAACTGCAGGAATAAAAATGTAAGGCACAACACTGGGAAGATGGCTTGAGTAATTATCAGGATTTCATTTATGTAGGAAAAAAATGATGTATAAATTAATATGTAAGTTAGACTAAAGGGTCTCAGATTATTATTTTTTTTAATTTTGTCAGCATCTGTTTCTGTCTAAAAGACAGACATCCAAGTCCATTCTACAAAGACGGGAATTCAGCATAGCACAAATCTCCTGCAAAGATCAATTTCTCAGTATGTGATATGGCTCACACCTAGGAGACGCTGGCCCTTTTTCAGGTGTGACTTATAGATGGCTAAATAAAAGCAAGACAAGTCATAGCAAAAAATAAGCTCCACATTTTTGTGGCTCTCTGTGTCTTCTTTCCAGTCATATAAAGGAGGTTTATTTCTCTCACATAATATATGAAATTCTAAAGGAGTCCACTACAATAAATAATAACAAATACCCAGCAATGCTAGGTTCCTATTAGTTCTTTCTTCTCTATTTCTTCCTCCTCTGATCTTTTTTCATTTGCACTTTCACATGTGTGATACTTGTCAAATAACTGGGACAAAATTATTTTGCATCAAGCAAAAAAATACTTGAGGCACAAAAAAAACTATGAGTCTGTTTAAAAAGATTTTACTCTAATCCCCTCCACTTGCTGTGACTGCGTATTCTTCTTCAATTACTGGGTTTGTGGTTGCCAAGGCTGTTTCCAAGTTTTCACAGTGCTCAAGTGCTGCAGTTATTTCACTTTACTGAAGACAGCTGTCACTGGATTTTCCTAGGGGCCTTGACACAGCCTTGCTGAAAGAGTTGTGAGGTTTGCTCTGGATGCTCAGTCCAGTCCAGTGCTGAGCTTCCTATGAGACGGATCTATGTCATTCATTTCCATTATATGCACTTGAAGATGTTAGAGGAAGGGCAGTGGTTTTCAGAAGACCATCCTAAGTCTGAATGTAGAGCTCTCTGTGATAATCCGTCCATCTAGAAATCATCATAAGAGGAAACATTCGAGTTTGTAGTGCAGGTGTTATAATACTTTTCTTAAGATTCAAGAAAAAGAGTTCAAGTTTACCTTTCCAGAAAACATGGTCCTGCCTTGCCTGAAAGCGTATTTCAGAATGCACTGTGCATGTTGCTGGAGTCTCTCACAAAACACTGGGTGCTTAGAACTAGCTCTTCCAGGTGACAGTTGTTAGTTGACTTAGTTGACTTAGTTTTAAGCTGTTGCATTTATTATTAGAGGAGAAGTAATACATTAAATACTTTCTTAATGTTTGCTCCTATTAGGCAATTGTATTTGCCATGGGGAAAATATGCAACCAGGGCTGGAAGAAGCAGCAATGTTTGCAAGCTATGCAAGGGTGAGGTGAAGATTTTGAGTAGGCACATCCAAGAACAATAGGAGAAGGGTCTGCAAGGCAGGCTTTCCATTTGAGTGTGATCCAAGTATTCAAATGTGAGGAATTGCTCCTGAAGCACAAAGTACAAAATGCTTTAAACAGATTGAATTGAGCAACAGATTATCCCATGATTGGCTCCCACTTCTAACAGAATTAGTGCTACTATGCTTATCCCTATAAATGAGCCGGTTATTTATTAATCACTTTCAAAGAGGGAATGCTCATTCTCTATATATGTCCATACTGTTCTCATTAGCAAGGGTTTATCCACTGATAGAAACAGCTTACTAAGTAAATGTCCTGTGATAGCAGGAGTTGTAAGTAAATTGTGTTTCATCTCAGCGTTTCCTTCATTTAGCTGAAATGTGTTGGTTTTTTTCCCATTTCACTGGCAATAACGTTTTTCAGGTGCTTTCACTTTCTAATGTTGCCAACAAAGCCTGCAAAACCCTACCTTTGAGACGATAAATAGACTATGTTGAACCACCTGTGTGAATGTGCAGCTCATTAAAAGGAAAAGATTTTGCAGGAGCACAGACTACACCTGCTACCATACAGCAGCATCTGCTGCACAAAGTTTTATACATAGGACCTCAATAAACCTGATCCAGAAAGAGGGAAACTATACAGAAATGCTCCTTTACAGCAGTAATACAGTATATATAGCAGTATACTTCTGCTACCTATCTCTACATTTTTTTCTTCAGACTATCAGGAATAGTTAAAACTCTCAGTTCCTATCTTAGAACAGGAGAATGGATTAGAAGATCTCTTGGTCCCTTCTAGCACTACTGTTCTATCTGTGTTTCAAGCCTTTCAGGTCCCTCTTCAGACCTTCCAAACTTGCTTACCTTAAATTTCAACACCTAACATTGAGACCCCCCCATGTTCTTTATTGCCTCTTTAAATGCCTGTTCTTTGGAGCTAGCAACAACTCAGTAATTAATTTTGTCTGAAGTAAACCAGGTGAAATACAGTCTTGACTCAAATCCTGTATTTTACTGAGCTTTCTATGTCATTTTGTGCTTTAAAGTAATAGAAAATAAGACAAAAGCACTGGACTAATTTAGCAGAGGCTGAAGATTTCAACATACAAATCATCATAGATATTATTAGATTTAGATGATATAATTCACCTCTTAAGAGAAGAAAGAAAATATTTTATTAAAAAACAACATTCTTCTGGTTAGATGCTGTCAGAAATTTATTCATGAAGTAACTGAAGTAAATCAGTGTTTATCTATTTTTCAGCTTAGTTGTTTTTCCTGCTATCAGCAGGCTGAAATAAGTATGCAGCAACCTGTAGCTGAAGTGAGTCCCCAGTCTTAACAATCAGCTTTTGCAGTTGCTCCCAGAAAACATAATGATGTTTCATTATTGCTCCCTCACTGCCCTGGGGCCTGTTATGGAATTTACTAAGACTACACCATTTGCCAAGGTATAATAGAAAGAAGCAGGTGGAAAAATAAAATACGATTTTAATTTCCTGCCATGTACTAACCTTTTACTATACCCAAAGCAAAGAATGATTTAAAACAAGATCTTACTTTTTGTGTGTCACTTGATTGATGAACTGTTTCAGTAATTCTCACTAAATGTATTTAAAACATATTTTTCCCTGCCACAACATGCTCTTGGATTTCTTCTCTGGGAACTTGCATTTACAGAGCTTTGCAAAGCATAAGTGCTGTAGCTGAGTTAGCAAAATTCCTTGGCTTGCTTGTGTAGGATTGGGCATATAGACAAAATACCGGAGTGACAAACTGTAAGCAGAATACCACTGCTTCAGTTCTGCCAGATTGATAGCAGGGGTTCACTGCCAGATGATAAAGAAATGACGAAATTATCAGCAGGAGAACTTGGTGACTTACAGACTGTACTGGTGTCTGATTATTTCTCCCACTGGGGAATACAGAATTGGGTAAATGTCTAACTACAGCAGAATCAAACCAAACCACTTGGCACTGACCTAGAGAAGCAGGACATCTAGAAGGAGTCAGTGACTGATTAACTGAAGAGCAAATGTCGTGTGCTGAAGTAGACAGCATAGAATGAATAGAATGACCTCTTCCTATATATATTTTTTTTTTACTGCACTGAACAGCTTTGTATTTGACTAAGGTCAGCCATGGTCCCAATTCTGAAATAAGCAGTGCAGAAATGTGCACTGTCCCTCTATCCCCAGAAATTAAGTGATGGCTGTTTCCAGCAGGTAAGCCCTCATCCACTGTGTGCACAGTCCCTTCGCTCACATGACAATATACCTTCCTTCATCAGCAGTTCTGCTGGAAACAAGGTGAACACTCAGAAGAAGTACTACTTGGACCTTGTATCCATACATGAGCATTTAATCTCTGGATAACTGACTGCTGTTATCTCAAAGTAAATAGTCTCCATATAAAATCTAGTTTGGGCACTCCCTAGTCATTTATTCCAGAATACAAATGTGTGAGCTTTTCTTCTTTCTCTGACCCCATTTGACAGTGGAATATCACCCCATCCAGATCTGCTCTAAAGAATCTCAATCCTACTGCTTTTTTCACTTTGTTCAGAAGTGCAAAGTGCATCCAGCTTTTCACAGGCACAACATTCTCTTACCAGCCTGAGTGAGAACACATATTGTGCTGTTTCATAGATTACTTCCTTAAGTAAAACTCAGAGGGAGTATTGCTCTGCCTCAAAATGAGTGTTCTTAGAGTGAAAAATAAAATAAAACAAAATAAAATATAAAGTAAAATTAGTGAAACAGAAGCACTTCTAATGAAAGTAAACACTACTTTCATTCCTTGATAGAAAAATGTCTTCCTGTTGAAGGATGAAGTACTTTGTGGCAAATATGCTCATTCCTCTTTTATTTTTAATCCAAATTCCTGTTGTAATTGGCTTCTTGTCTTCTGATACTAGGTCTGCACGAACATCCTCAGGTGTTGGCAGAAGTCATTGTAAGTCATTTTCTCAGAAATAAGGCTACATTGCATAGTGTCTCTAAGCCAGTCACAATAGCAAGAAACTCTCAAATACAGCAACAGAAGAGAATTCCCTTGATGTTTTCTGTGTGCAGAGGTGATTTTTACGCCTTCTTTCCCCACACATTAGTCAGATTAATGGGACAGAGGCCTTAAGAAAAAAGGCTGTTCTGACATCAGAGGAAGGGATAACAGAGCTAGAGCTCACACACAGGAGAGGCCTCCAGTGAGAGAGAACTAGAAATCAGTTGTAAATAAGTTGTTCAAGATTGATCTGTAAGCAGAATAAGTGTGGATAATTATCGCCGTCCTTTTGAAATCTCAACAGCATTTGGATAAACTGGCTTTAATAACATTGAATAAATGTTTGGACTCAAACTTCAGACCAATTCTGAAATCTTAAATTGTCTAAGCTGCTCTGTTCCCTGGGTTTCTATTCCCGCTTCTTCATCTTGGTAGCAGGTGGCACAAATTTTTGATGGCTGATCAATAATTCTCATTTTGTTTGCTTTCTGCCTTTGAAGAGAAAAATCCTCTCTAGTTATTGAAAATTGAGTCCCATTGAATTAATGGCTATAAGTCCCTACTTATATCCATGAATATGAGAACAGTATTATTTATTTCATTAAATATTTGATATTTTTTCCTAACTCAACAAAATTGTGATTAATTTTAAATTCATAGTGCCCCTGAGCCAGCACCTCTATCTGCATTTACTGCTCAGAAGTGGAAGGGAACAGAGTCCTTCCTCATGTTAAAGAATTTGCCTGTTGGCCATTAGTGTGAGGCACTATTGATGTGGAAGCTTCTTTGCTGTTCGATCGAGGAGGCATGGCATATGCTTTCAGATTAGTCCTGCTAACAGCCACACAGACAACCCCACAGCACACACATAGAGATCTCTTGTTTTCCTTTTGCACCCAGCAGATAAATCTTTGACAGAGAGACTCTAGATATCTAGTATATTAGATTTAATACCCTGACTTGAACTTACAGTCACCCGGTGGCTCAGGATATTAGTTAAAAAGAATTTTTATTTTATTTTCACAGATAACAGCTCCATGAAATTTAATAAATAGATCCAACAGCTTGCACCATAAGCTTGTGTAGACACATGTGACTTCACGAATAGGTATTCACCATATGCTGCCAGAACTACACTGTTCTGTGCATAAATAGAATTAATGATTTCATTGGCAATTGATTTATCTCATATGTATAAACAGATGAGGAAATAGAAGGGCAAAACAAAATCCTAGTAGAATTCCAGAAACCCAGCCATTCTTTTCAACTATCTTGAAAGAATGTGACAGAATAGCTTAGCTGCTGATGATTGTAGATAATTTTAAGCCTCCACAAGAAAAGAAATTGAATAATTTATTGTCTGAGCAAATAATATCTATTCAATGCAACTGTGTTAAGGTCAGTTTTACATCCAAATTAGTAGCTTGAATACAAACTGAACTAGGAGGCTGAACTGTGGGGTTGGCAAGATACTGAGAGAACAAAATGACAAATCTATTTCCTTTACATTTTACCCAGCAATTCAACTAAAAAGAATGTAATTTTTCTTATTCTGCTTAACAACACAGGCAAAGAAATTGCTGTACTCTGACTAGACGTAGAAAGCAGTTATCTTCTATGTCTGTTCTATGCTAAGTAGTGCATCTACAAATTAAAATGAATCTTTCACAAGCTTTTCTATAAGTGCAACCTATTTACTAAAAATACGCCGTGTCTTGTCACCAATGGATGTCTCAGTGTGGCATCATCTTCTAGTATCGGTATGAAAAAAGAGGAAACACTGGGAGCAAAAGCGATACAGATGTCAGATGACATACTTCTGCAGAAAAAGAATGCTTTTGGTCACACAAAGTGTAGGGATCAGCAACTGCATAAACGTTTATGAGAAAAGGATGCTGCTGATATGCTGACTTTTTTTAGTGCCATAACTTAAACCAAAATATGACAGTTTGTTTTAATGCCGAATTGTTCTGGAGGAACTGGAAGAATTCACACAGGAAAATTCTAAAATCCCCAGTGCAGTTTTAAAAAATGAGTAAATTTCAGAAGAGATTGTGCATTAAATAGTATTCCATTTATATGTTATCTGTATAGGCCAAAGTGAAAAAGCTTGCTGCAAATTTGTTTCTTCATCTCTGGGCTCCTTTGGGAGAATGGAGCAAATACTGACAGCAGGGTGTTCTGGGAAGGAGCAGAGGTGAGCAAAGAGATCATGTGCTCCTGCTACATTCAATGCTATTTGAATTTGGAGGCCCCATTTGCGTCATTTAGCAAGCTCTGACTTCTGCTGCAACCTTTGAGTCAAGTTCCTGGTGAATCCTGGTCTCAGAAGCTAAAAAACACCAGGGACACCCTTGAAATAATCCTCAGGCTGTAGAAAACTAAAGGATAATTCTCATCAGTGTGCTACTGTATTTTATTGTACCTTTCCAATATGCATGACTTATTAAGGATGGTGAAAGAGCCATCTGTTCATCTTCCTCTAACCAATATACCCTCACATCTCGTTACAACAACTCTGTTGTTCCCACAGTGATGAGGCTATCACGTGAATTGCACATATATAACAAATACAATTAATTATAGCTCCAGAAATAGGCTTGCCCGCATTCCCATTCTTCCAAAGACCTCAAACCCCTGTGGCAATTAAAACATTCAGATTATGGGTTGCTTCCTTAGGGTCACTGAAATGCTAAGGACAGATATCTTGAATCTTGTTGCTGTCTTAGACATTAGGACCAAGCAACAACAACAAAAGCAAACAAATAAATAAATAAATAATCTATGGCCAAGTTAGTTTTACTATGTTTTGAAAACTTTTGTTGATGTAACACAGTCTTGCAGTGCTGCAACAGGCCTGTGTTTGAAAAAGGCCAAAAACAGTTTCACCTCACCTCAGTACCAGACAAAACCACATGAAGTTTGTGAATAGCAGAGGTTTGGTGTAACTCCAAAATGTGAAGAGCTGCCTGTGGTTTATTTGCCAGAGTGCCCTTTACTTGCCTTCAAAGTGTCAGGAATTAAGTATGATGATCAAATATTGTATGTTAAGATATTAGTCCCTGATACCTCACTGAAAGGAAAGAAAGCATATATGGGAAGGAATACAAGGCAGTGTGTTTGCAAAATGCAATTGGAAATAATGAAATACAGTTAAGAGAACTTCAGTTAAACAATGAAGGAAAACTGAAATAACGCAATAGAAGAATATTTCTTGCATGGTAAGTTCCATTTCTGAGGACACCAGTTTTTACCCTCGTTTTTAGGGTCAGACTTAGAGTTGCTATGAAATTACCTTAATCTTCCTGTGACATCTCTTTCTCACTTACATGAGATTTTAAAAAGTAGGACAGATCCTAGTGGAGGAATAAAGAGTATATCCTGTACTACTGTGACAAAGTGCACGCAAGTCCTGACTTTTGTCTCTCTTCTCTCTGAAAATTCTCCCCTTTTTGGCAGCGATGTGAAGAGTGAATCAACATCTCTGAGCCAGTGAGGGTAAAGGAGACCAAAGGCTGCAAGCTTAGACAACACACAGCATAGTTGGGACTGGCTGGCATGGTTATATTATTGCAGGAAAGAAGGGAACAAAATGTAAAAATCTAAATTGCTGATTGTTTCTTTATGATAGGAGGTGTTCTAGGAATAATTTAACAGGTTCTTGCTTCATGAACAGTTCAACAATTAGAATCAAAGAAACAAGAATTTGCTGCTGTGCACTTTCTAGCATTGAAGGAAATTTAAAACTACTGAGCAAAAGCAGAGTAGGAGACAACTTGGAGGGGTTTGCTTCAAAATCCAAAGCTCAGTATGATTTTCTCAACTTTAACAGACATTAGAAACCAAATAGAAGTATTTACTTTAGGATCAGCAGAAGGTTTAGGTTGAGAGCATAATTAATACTACTGATCAGTAATGACCTGCAGATTGATTCAACAAAATGCTGGCAGTTTTACTGTAGAAAGCAATTTTGTGTTAGCAAACAATCCATTTCACCCCTTTCTGGCCACTCTTGTGAAAGAAAACTTGTAGAATTAAAGCTATTAACACAGTTCCTAGCAGTTTTAAAATATTCTATCTACTGTCCCTGACTTTACTTGTCATTATGGTTGATGAACTCAAGTTTACCCTGTTCCTGGAAGGCTTTCTTTGCTTAATTTTCAGTATAAACTGACTGCTACTGAAAATTCTTCTCCCTAAATTTGTTGCAAATGAGTAGTAAATTATCACTCCCCTTGGCTTCCACAGTTACACATTCTGATAATGTCACCAAAATAATATGTACCTCAGTCAGACTCAGATGACATTGGATCCTTTCATTCAATGGCACTAGACAGATAGCAGTGAAGTATCTCTAATGAAAGCTAGTACTCTGGTATCTCCTTTTTGTTTTGGCTGTACAATGATAAGATGCAGCAGACTCCAGTTTTTCTTATAAAATAAGATTATATCCACTACCTTTTTTTCTTCACTGATAGAATCTGCTAATTTCGAGTACGTGCTGCTTCACAGAAATGTTAATAAAACACACCTCTTATCTGTTTTCTTACTAGCAGTTAGCAGCTTAAATGTAGATATGCTGTGGTGTATATAGAAGTTAGTACGTCATAGGTAGTGCATACATTGAAGTTATTTTATACATTGACCTTATTTAACTTTCCAGCAAAGTAGGAGAGACTAAACAGTTGAGTTTGCCTTGAAATTCTGATACATGGAAGAACCACTGGTGAGATCATCTATATGGATATTCTAGGCAGAAATCTAAGTTACCGTGATGAACTCCAGGTCCTTCATAATCCTAAGCCTCCTATTCAAAAAAATGATAGATAGAAATAGCCTAAATAATGTCTAGCTTTTCAATAGTTGTCATGCATGTGGCTATTTTGCACATCTCTGAGAAGATTGCATGCGTGTGAGTAGCAGAGAAGCACAGCTGGCACTGGTGGTCTAGAATCACAGATTCAGAAACCATCTTTCTTTATGCCACCATCAGTACAGGAATCATTGTACTGCTGTGTCTGTGGCTTCAGAGCTGGTATCAAGGGGAGGGTTTCTTTCCTCTGAAACTTGATATACCATAGCTATTTCAGTTGTATTCTGAGAAAGAGATTATCTCTTGAGAATTACTTCAAATCCATGAAGTTGAGATCTTAAGTGAATATGCCACACATTTACTTATTTTTCACAAATGCAACCATTCACATTATTTTTTTACACCTCCCTTTGAAGCAGGAGGAAAGATCTCATCTGAACACAAAATATTAGATTAGAATGAAATGGGATCTGTTACAGTTTAGCAATTGCTATGTGATTTTTCTGGCCTGGGGATATTTATACAGGAAGATTTTTATTAAAAGAGGATGAGAGATTTTATTTCTCCCCTCTTTTCTGATTCAGTGTCATTTGAGTCTTGTCAGAAAGAGTTGAAGGCAGAAGCAAGGAATTCATTTTGTATCAATATTTGCCCTGTTTTATTGGTACAGTAATTCTGCACTGAAGTAAATAATGGATGGCACTCAGACTCTCTAGAATTGATGCGATATGAACAAATGCCAGATCCCCATTTTATCAGGTGTCACAGTGTTGACTTTTCTGTTTCAGAACCTGGACTTCTGCCATTGCTGCTGGTTCAGAGCTGTAGGGGTGAATGAACAGTTAAATTCTCTCCTCACCATCAGTTTTTCTTTAATCCATATTTTTGAGATCTTTTCAATTTGCTACCGCTTGCCTACAGACCCTGAGTGTGTTTTAGAAAGCATTCTCAAATTCCTACTGCCTCCCTAGGAGACCAGAATATTCCTTACAGAGTAAGCAGGTTGATGGAGATTTTAAATATGCATTATAGATACTTAATGGGATGAAGGAGTAAATTTGCATTTAGATAGATATTACTATTTCTATGAATACATAATCATTTTAGAATGATTTTTAAAGGAATTATGAGAAATTAACTGTCTTAAATAACAGTTCTCTGTTAACATTAAAGTAAGTATGCAAGTTCCTTTGTTCTGTTTTGCAAATAAGGATAGTCGATGACCGAGGTGTTATTTCCCAACTGCATGTCAGAGTGTGGAATAGGACCCAGTATTCAAATGTGCAGTCTAGCATCTTGTCTTGCTTAGACCATGGAGTCTCTAAGCCTGCTGGAAAGGTGTCAGAAATGTGGCATCTTTGTGAAAGTCCATGGGGAAGGTATATAGGCCTTGCACAATAGTCAGTTGCTGTTTTATTTATTCCAAGTATTCAAATCCAACCACAAGTCATTTTTTAATCAGACAGTGTAGACTCAAGGGATTCACACAGCCATTGCAAGAATTGATGCAATCACTCTACAGTCTTGCAATGAGTTGAGTTAATAGTTTGTAGTCCCAAGACTTTCCATTAATACACATTGCTGACATCAGGCTGTCATTGGATAGACTTTCCACTAATATATGTAGCATCCAGCACTATCAAGTCTTCAGATTTATGCAAGAATCCGTAAGTATTTGTATGATTTTTGTAGCAAGGAAAAAATGTGAAAGGGCTGACACAAACACACAACTTTGTCATGTCGTATGTTTGGTGACAACAGACACACAATCATGTGCATATGAAAACACACCAACTATTGATAGGATTAGGGACATTGCAGAAATATTTTTTTGCCAATTATACAAGCCTGGAAAATTTAGCCTGGTTTCTGGAACACAAGATTCTTATCAGAATTCCTGCATATGTTCAAAAGTGTAGAATACTAGAGGTCAAATCAGGTCCTCAAATTAATTCACATTATGCCCCATATCCGCAAACAACAGCCTCAGTGTCCTGCCTGTCACTTCCAAGATCTTTGTGTAGAAATAATTGATTGAAACTCAACAAACATTTCTTTTTGAAGTTTCAGGAGGTGGACGGTAGTCAGCAGTTCACTCACTGGACTTGTGTTAATTCTCCTGGATGAGAAGTGAAAAAAACGATTTTTTAATTGGTCAGCTGATATGAGCAAAGTACAACTCTGTGCTGAAGAACTGCGTGCAATCTGTGTTTAGAGCAGAGTTGCCATTAGTTTAAACGAAACAGCATGTTTACCAAAGACTGTGTATGGATCTCAGAGAATTTCTCAAGCATTAACCAATATAGTCTTTCAACACTTCTGAAAGCTAGATAATATTCTGTTCTTTAATAATGCAATGAACACTTTACACTGACTATATTAGAATTATTTTCTCTGTTGATTCATTGATTCAACAATATGGTAATGAAAGGGAAAAGGATTAGCTCAGCACAAACTATAGCTCAGCAAACAGCGCTGGTGGAAACAAATACCTTCAAGAGCTAAGAAAATCATTCTTTCGAAAAGCAGATCTCCTGGATGTCTCAATTTATAATAAAGCAACTCAGTGATAACTTAAATAGAAGAATTGTATAAATAGACCAGCAGGCATCTAAAAAATGTAACTATTTTATTAGCTTGTTATCAGGTGGCCATCTGGTGATGTCAAACATTTGATAAGACAAATTAGTTTTTATCTTTTACACACTGAGATTGATAGTTTTGCTTTAAAAGTGCACTGTTGTTATAGTGCTCGCCACTCAATTGCCTTCAAAAGGGAATAATAATAGTTGCAGTCCTGAGTTTGGATTGACAGAGAAACTTATAGACAAGAAGATGAAATTCCAGCTCCACTCTGAGTCTCAATGTGCTGCAGAATTCAATCCCACTAAAGTTGTAAGGCATGAAGCTAAAAACTGAAAGATGCTTTCAGGAAGATACGAAGGACTCAGATTGGCTTGTCAGGTGGTTAAAGTTGTTTCTAACAGAACGTTAAGTTGAGCCACGGTGAGATGAATGAGCTGACACCAAGAGGCCGAGTGTGTGGTGGTTTGTTTAGCATGCAGATGCCTTGACTTTCAGTCTGCTGTCTTTATGCTGTTATGTCTAAAAATAAACCTCTTCCCACAGTAAAGAAAATCATTTACTGGCAGTTGGGCCTGATATAAGATTCAAAAAAGAAGAAAACATTAGTTGTTTTTCTTCAGAAAGAACTTAATCAGCAATTATGAGTTCCTTTAAAACTTCAGTACGTTTAATTCTCCTTCCTTTTACTAAGCAGTCTTCCCCTTCAAGCTTCAATAATTTGTTTCTCAAGAGAAGACAGAAATAGTTTTAGAACAGCTTTTACTAATGTTTACTGTGCCATATCATGCTTATAAAATCTTTTTTAATATGTAACCATTTAACTTCTCTTGGCGAGATAAATTCACGGTGATACAGATGTTTTGTAAATACCATACTCGCTTAGCATCTGAGTTGGAACACATTATAAAAGAAAATGGCATTTGAAATAGACTTGTTTTTGCAATGCAGTAAGGTATATTAAGCAAAAATTTTCAGGTGAACTAGGGCCAAGAGTTCAATATGTTCTTTATATTGCAGATGGCAACTATGTGCCCTGAACTTCTGTGAGGGTATTTCTGAGGTCATCAGCGGTCCCATGGGGGAAATGAGTCACCAAAAGCGTAAGTGATTTCAACACCTTTGCTATAAACTCCATAGATTAGTAATATGAACTTTACAGAAGCTTTGCTAAGTTGAGGCCTGCGAGACTTTCCACTGAGTAACTTCTGTTCCATAGAATGATCCACACTGCCATAATATTTGCATTACAGCAGTGCTAGGGATTCAAGGAGGAACAAGATTTTATTTTGGGGCTGTAAAAGTCCCTGCCTTAGAAAATGTTAAACCTTACCCAAGACAAGACACAGCTAGCTATAAACTCAGTGACTGATGAACATTAAGGTTCTGAGGATATTACTGTGACTGAAAAAGATAGGTTTCTGCCACAATTAGAAGTTACAGAAGAACTTGTTTTTCAAGCGGTAGATGAACCTTGGTTGGCTGTACCATTAAGCAATACTAACAGGAAAACTTACACCTGAAAGTGAAATAAAAACTAAAGAAGCAATTTCCACACACACAAAAAAAGGTATCACAAGCCTCCAGAATGTGATAAAATAATAAGGAAAAGCATGCATGCCTTAGACTGTAACATTCTTCAGAAGTAAGCACAGAATCTGTATCTGATCACAAGGGAAGGAGTGTGTCACATGGGCATACCAGTAGACAGGAAAACTGGCCTAGAAAACCAGGCGACTGCCAAGATAGCTAGAGTATATGCAGCTATCAGTAATGTGGGTAGTAAAGTTCAGATGTCATTCCACGGCTGTGGTCTGTAAACCATAATGAACCTGTCCCTATGTAGTTCTAGAATTAGGCTCCCAAATTGCAGCTATACCTGACAACAACTTGCAGGTAATACAAATATAAGCAAAATACAAGTATGAAATACACGTCTTGGAGACTGTTCCTTCATGAAATTTTCTCTAATAATTCCCCAAATGACTAAATCCTATGTAACAGCACACAATGATTCTATGTCCACCAGAGTGGACAATAATGCAGCAAACTGGAAGTTTTGTCCCATTGTTCCGGCATCCTATATATTAAATTCATACAATCATATCTGGAATGTATAAGTTGTTTCAGACTTCAACTACTTTAGGAAGACCACACATGAGCCCTCTCATGGGCATATTCATCAGTGCGCTCTCTGGTTACAAGTGATTTTCCCAGTCCAAGATCCAAATACCCAATGAAGTGCCCTAAAAGCATTTTGCAGAATTGTGATTCTCCTACGGGACTTGTGGGCACAATGCAATGAATGGAATGTATTCATCCGTAGGTGGAGCTTTCCATCTGTGACAGGTTGAAGGTTTTAAGCAATTCAAATATCCCTCATTTTTCTCTAATGTTTCAGGAGGTAATGAAACGGAAATCGCATATATTAAATGCCAAAAAATGCTGAAAGCCAGTACATTTTAGATCAGTGGATTACACATGCAATTTATTGTCTGTTGTCAGGGAAAAGGTGTAAGAAATGCTGTGGGGAGCAAGCTTTACACACTCTATGTATAGGTTTTATGCTGCATTGTAATGACAAGATTGTTACTGTTCAAATGCAGCCGCCTATATTACTTTGGCTGCTTGAATCTGTTCTGGATTTACATATAATGAGTGAGAGCAGAAGAACTGTAGATTGGTGTAAATTTTATTTGAAAATTACCTTAGAGAAGCATACAGTAAGAGTTTAATTAGGTTACTGAAAATGCTACAATTTTTACTTAATGGTAGTTTATATGCAAAAGCAATCTTGAGGTAAAAGGACAGTGAAGACCAAGCACTTCAGTTGAGCCTTCAGTTAAATACACCAAAGGTCAGCATCCAGTGTGGGTTTGGATAATAGCTCATAATGGTAAAAATAAAGTGCTTAGTCTCCTCTTTTTACTTCAGAATAGTTCTAATAGTTACTAATTTTATTTATTTCAAGGTGAAAAAACTACATTTTGAGCAACAAAACCTCATTCTTCTGTATTATCACAGCTTCTGTATCAGTCCATCCACCTATCTGTCAAAAGCAACATAAAATACCACTCTTTCAAAAAGCATCCTACTATATATTCTCTGAGATTCAAAGTGCCATTGACTGTTCAGAAAAAGCCTGACTAACCAGTTCTGTCCTGTTCTTGCCTCTAAATTTGCTCATGTTATTAATATAATCTTACTATTATGTTCATATTAACACAGTCACCTATTTCAGTGACCATGATCACAATCATGTGCAAGACAACCAGGGGATCAGGACCAACCAAAGGCTGATACTGGTTAACCAACCTGATCTCGTTCTATGACCAGGTGGCCAGTTGGTGGATGACAGAAATGCTGTTGACATAATCTGTGCAGACTTCAGCAAAGCCTTTGACATTATCTCCCACTGTATTCTCCTGGAGAATCTGGCAGTCTGTGGCTTGGATAGGTACTCTCTTTGCTGAGAAAAAACTTGCTAGATGCCTGGGCCCAGCGAGTAGTGGTGAACTGAGTTAAATCCAGCTGGTGACTGGTCACAAGTGGTGTTACCCAGTGTGTCAGTACTGGGGCTTATTCTTTTTAGTATCTTTATTGATGATTTGGATAAGGGAATTCAGTGCATCCTCAGTAAGTCTGCAGATGACACCAAGCTGGGTGGAAGTCGATGAAGTCGATTTGCCCGAGGGTAGGAAGGCCCTACAGAGGGATCTGGATAGATTGGATCAATTGGTGAGGCCAGCAGGATGAAGTTACAAAAAACAAGTGTTGGGTTCTGCACTTTGGTCACAATAGCACCCAGGCAACACTACAGGCTTGGAGCAGAGTGGCTGGAATGCTGCACATGAGCCAGCAGTGTGCCCAGGTGGCCAAGAAGGCCAATGGCATCCTGGCTTGTACCAGTAGAAGTAGTGTTGCCAGCAGGAGCAGGGAAGTGATCATCCCTCTATACTTAGCTCTAGGGAGACTGCACCTCAAGTATTAAGTTCAGTTTTGGGCCTCTCACTACAAGAAAGAGCGCCTGGAGCATGTCCAGAGAAAGGCAACAAAGCTGTGAAGGGTCTGGAACACAAGCCTTAGAGGGAGTGGCTGGGGAAACTGGGATTGTTCAGACTGGAGAAGGCTCAGGGGAGACCTTATTGCTCTTTACAACTATCTGAAAGGAGGCTGCAGCAAAGTGGGGGTCAGCCTCTTCTCCCAGATAACAGCAATAGAAGAAGAGAGAATGCTCTCAAACTGTGCCAGTGGAGGCTCTGGTTAGATGTTAGGAAGAATTTGTTCTTGGAAAGAGCGGTCGGACTCTGGAGCAGGTTGCTCAGGGAAGTGTTTGGAGGCATTTAAGGAAAGGGTAAACTTAGTACTTAGGGATATGGTTTAGTGGACAGTATTGGTGGTAGGTAGACAGTTGGACTAGATGATCTTAGAGGTCTTTTCCAACCTTAATGATTCTATGATTCTATGATCAGAGTTAACATGCTTATATTTTCAATTCTTAATGTAATGGAGAAGGTCTTTCTGGACCACCTCCTTCCAATTTGCTCTGAGATTTCCAAATCACATCTTGCTTGCAAAGATCTTCTTACTAAATACTATTCAAATTCCACTCAATAGACTTAGTATCTTGCTATAAAGACTTTCGCTTTAGTTGAAGCAGCATGCCTATATAAGCATACAGTTTTAAAGGGTTGTGATTGATTTACCCATTTGTAACCCATGTCTGATTTATTCAGACACGATCATCTGAATTATGGAAGGTGTTTCATAAATGAACATAAACTATTTCAGATCAACAGCGTAGCTTTTTTATTCAGTGAATGTGGGATGTCTCACTTTTAAAGCAGTGCTGATGACCCTTCTAGTTTTCTGCTCAATCTCACCTTAGCAACAACGTCAGGAAGCAGATATGATCAATGAGGCCTTTCTTAGCCCTCTGAAACTTCAGTTTTCATGCCAGAGATCTTTTGTATAGCTAAATTAGTGAAGACACAGAGCAAGAGGGTTAAGATGCAGTCTCATCAGTTCCTTGCAGTATGTAAGATGTTCTCAAAGCCCAAGTCTTTGCAGCCTCCATGAAGCTAACCACCTATGCCAATATGACGTTGCTTTATATGGCTTGACACATAGAAAAAAGATTTCCCTACTGTTTGCATATTTTTACATCAGTTACTTTTTTTTCTTAAAATCTAAAACCTGGATTTTAATCTCTACTGTGCACAGTTGCCACCCTAGACAAGACAGCTGTTTGTTCCTTACTCGTTGTTCACATGAGTCCACCTCATGTAATAACTATGTGAACAGAACTGCATATTTGGTATAGGTTGGTCTGTACTGCAGCAGCAGAAATATCCTATGTTTTTAACATAGTTAGGCCAAAATTTGCTTTGTAGTTGCTTCAGTTGCTACCATAGAACATGCCATCATAGAACAGGCAAGGCCAAACTAGACTGAAATACTTCTATACGTCTACAGATACTTGAAAGCTGTTAGTCGTGCTTTCTTCCAGAGTCTCATCTAAGAGCAGTGTACTTTAAAAGCATTCCCTCAGCTTTATGTTTCACTTCATGCTCATGACAAGCCCTGTCCTGTGGATCCAGTCACAGCTATATGATAAACCTTTAGCCCAATACTCCCTATGTCTGAGACACCAAAGAAGCAGAGCCCAGCTGGTAATTGGAAAATAAAAAAATAGCATTTAATCTACACTCGAGTTCAAAAGGTATAGGGAGAGGTAATGAACAGAACACAGGAAGGGCAGGGACAAATGAGCCAAGGAACTATACCAAGAAATACAACTGCGATACTAAGCCATTATAAGTTGCTCATTCCATTTATGATAGGCAATTGTTTGCCTTTGTGTGCTCATAAATGCATCTAAAATAAACAGAACGTTTCCCAGTATAGGCCATGGCACTGTTTTTTTTCCTGGTAGAAGTTTTAAGAATACCATAGGTATTTGAAGATGCTGACATGAAAAACTCAACAAAAGAGCTACAAACCTTTTCCTGTTATTAAACAAACGGAAAGTAAACATTCAGGATTTGGATATAAGAGGATGTTCTGTCATTTTGTATTTAAAAACATAAATACTTCTGGCAACAAATTGATTTATTTGGTTTATTTCAATTCTTAGAAATGTGATGATTTAGGAATTTCTCCTGATTTACTTGTTGTTTTGTCCTTTTTTCAGTTATGACATAGGAACCTAGACAGCATTTAGGATGAGCTTTGAGACACATTTCAGATAATATCTGAATCCCAGTAGGATTATTTTTGCAATTAGAGGCAGACAGCCATGTTAAAGCATGCTCCTGGGTCAGAGAGTGTTGAGATTAAAAGGAGTGACACCAAATTTTGTTGAACAGTAAAAAATGTAGGATGAACTTTGAGATACATTTCACATTCCTTAATATTGAAAATGAAGTATTGGAGACAAATTTAGTTTTAGATGTTATACCCACATCTACATGAACTGTGAATTTTTAGTGCCTAGCTTGCAGCTGGTTCTGAAAGTTCAGTCTTTGAATGGAGTGATACACAGCATTCTCTAAAATCCATTCTATCCTTATGTTTAATATAGCTGAAAATGCATGGGAAACCAGAAGAAAAATAGTGAAAAAAGTCTCTTCTCTGGGTTATTCCTAGAATGGAATCCAGCTCAGGATTAGATGTAATCTTAATGCTGTCATTTCAGCTTCTTGGAATTGCCTAGCATTTGAACTAAATTGTCAGCCTCCCTATTATTGTTAATAAGTGGACATACAAACCACAAAGACATTACAGAGGATATAAACAGTAATTTGCAGTAATGCAGGTGATCTGGGAAGTGAGTAAAAATGTTACCAATTTGGCACAACTAGACAACTCTCCAGATACTCTGAGGCAAATGAGCAGGCTGATGACAGAGATGCTGTCTGCCAGTTCCTGCAAAGAGATGTTTGGAGCTGTAGCCTGGCACTTTCCATGAGCACTGCACTCACTGCTTTGGCAGGAGATGAGCACAACTGAAGTGCAGGTGCTGCCATTCACAGTTGCCATAATGGTCCTTTGCCCAGCCAGAGCAGTGATAAGCATCTTCAGTAAATTAATACCAAGGCCAAAAGCTTGTTTCGCATACAGTTTGTTTTTAACTGTAAGCATAAAAAAGAGCATGTGCTCAGTTACCATACACGTGTCCACACAAGCATAGCATCCATTAGAGAAGAAGGTAAATACTGGATATCAATATTTAAGATAAATGTAATGAGCAAAGTAATTTTTTAACAATTAGTCAGCCATAGCTAAAAATCTGAGCCACTGGTTTGGGCATCTGCATTCATCTAAGCGCTAAAATAGAACTGTGTATAGGAAAATTAGAAGCTAAGCTGGGGGAAAAAAAGCACACAACTTCACTAGTGTGAAAGTCTTTCAGTGGAGCATTTTATAGGCATTTTGCACGAGCCAACTGAATTCATTGAAGTTACGACTCAAAAATCGCTGAAATATGGACATCTAGTGGAGACATCTAATTATTACAGTTTTCCTTCCTACGGAAATGCAGAAAATGAAAAGGCCTTTTACTGATTGTCTTGCTGGAGCCTGGAGTTCTCCTGGCCTTTTGCTGCTTGGCCAATTGCTCAGTAGCAGGAGATGAAGGTGACGCAGCCAGAACTTGGCAAAATAGAAGCTGTGTGTCATTTAACTTACCTGGGTGATTGATGAAGCAGGAAAACTAATGACCCATGAAGGAACAAACGTTTCTCAAACAAGAGGTAAATGAATGTGATACTGGAGCTCAAGGGATGGGTGAAAATCAGAGGCTGTAAGTGCCTTTAAATACTCCTGAAATTGCAAGCTCAGACCTTTTGCATTATTTTTTATGGGGAGAAGGGAAGCAATAATTTGGGGTTGTTTAAAGCCTTGATGCAGAGAAAATTTAATATTCACATCATTTCAAATGCATAAAGTTTGTAATACAAACCAAGAGTTAGCTGTGAGGACAGAAAGTGTCCCTGCACACTGCAATGTCTGCAGGGCCTTCAGGTCATACGCTGATAGGATGGAATGTCAGCAGGATCCAACAGTCCCGTAGAACTTCCTCACTAAAGGGTGTTTAAATCTCCACAAATGCAAAATCATGATAGCTACACATTAATGGTCAGTGTTCTCTTTTCTCATGCTATCCACTTACTGCTGTCCACCTTGGGATTTCTGCTGCTGTGGGATTTGTAACTGGGTTGATGCGTGGCCAATATTTGTCTGACTTCTCTTTTTTTGTCTCCTGTGAAAGCCATCTGAAACTAAGCAGGAACTAACCTTGATTTATTTCTTTAATTAAAAAAAAAAAAAGATATTACATATTAATAAAAAATGAAAAGTATTCCCTTGCTGGTTTTTTAATTATTTTTTTTTTTAAGTTTCCAAAAACAGTCCCATATCTCTGTCAAAGTTAATGTAACCAGCATTTCCATGGGAATTTCTGCTTATCCAGGGAAACTGGAACTGCAGATGTAAATAACAGCCCATCCTCCCAACTACTGTTCAGATCACCTTGTGAGAAATAAACGGGTTTTTTTTAGAACACATGTCAAAACATTTCTCTTGACTACAACCAGCATGAGCTAAGAAAATTCTGCAGGAACATCTTGTTGAAACCAGAAAGAGAAATGAATCTAATGACAAATTATGACTTATTTTTTGTGAGATTTTATGCAAAACTGTTTTTTGTTTCGTATGGAATCTAAAATTGACGACAGACATTACTAGAATATGTCATTCTTTTACAATTTTATTACTAACTTCCTTGAGAAAACACAAGAAAATGCTACATGGGCAAATAGTTTTACAGGCTGATATTTCTATTTCTTCTAATAAGCTTAAGATTGTAAATTACGCATTGAAAAAGAAACCTCACCTGTTTTGGCTGAGGTGGACTGGGAACTAACTTCCTAACTCCTTCCAAAAGTCTCCAGACACCCCAAAAACAACCCCTTTTGTTAGCATAACTCTCCAGCACTTTCCTGCATATGGAACTTAGTTTTATTGGCAGTAGAGTCTCCATAGCATGAAAATTAATACTATATTTTAAATATTAGTAAATATGAATTCTCTTTGCATACATGGAATTTACTTCATCTAATGATTCCAGCAAACTTGCAGCATGACTTCTCAGAAAGCTGGCATCAATTTGGACCTTAATTGAATAAAGTCAACAGGATAATTAAGCTCAGTATCAAGAAGTAGTAAGTAATGGAGTGCCCTGCATCAGAAGCAATGAATCACCCACACACAACATGAAACAGTCCGTTCTCATGAAGACATTACTAAACCAAAAGATCGCAATGGAAGTCTGCGAGATGATTTAACAAAAGGCTTTCAGCCTCTGTAGGGCAGCACAGGGTATTGCAGTTTCCATGGCACTGCAGAGATCAGAAAAACAGAAAGGATAAACACTGAGAACTGCCACAAAAGTCATCTTTGGTCCTTTTATTGCAGTCCCTTGTCTCAAGTCAGGATCAAACTTTAGCTGCGTCTGAAAAATATTTAGTGTGCTGTTAAAATTTCCACTCATGGAAATAAAACAAAAGCATCTCCCTCTCTGTAATGGCCTATTTTGTTCATTTTACATTTTCTAGACTGAGTCTTTCCTCATGTCACTCTCATCACTCTCTTCTTGACTCTGTCCAATTGCTCTACATTTATCATGACCTGTTCTTCTAATTGGACACTCTTCAGTTCAGGTTCTTAGTGAAAGAAATGCTCATCTACTTCATGCCTTGGGTATGGCCTCCTGCATGTAAACACCAGTATGATACCCTTTTTCACATTCTGACTGATTTCCAACTCGTGATTCTCTATAATCCTCAGCATCTGCTTTTCAGAGGTTCTGCCCAGTCATCTTACTGCTGCTGTGTCATTTGCTGTCTCATCATAAAAAGGGAAATCCAGACATCTGCAAAAGTGTCTGTACAACTGCTGATATTCTAAAATAATATATACAAGTATTGTAATGACTCATCTTAAAGTGATCTTGTCCTTCAGATAGCAGTTTTTCTGGTTGAAGAACAATCTAGACTTATAATCAGAAAAAGAAATGGGAACAGATATTCACTGCATATTCCCTTGATGAAATGAGTGTGATGCAGTGAACTGACTGAATGGTGTGTGCTGTGGTTTCCTTTCAAGGCTGTATGAAGATAATGAGATGTGGTAGAAAGTAGCTGACCCATGGCTTGCTGCTGTTTTGTCTGCTGCTCGTTGTAACGCGCATCTCGTAGTACTGTGTCTGCACAGTGGGGGCATACAGGCTTATCTGTCCTAGATAAACTCTAATTTCATTTGAAATCAACTTGATTTGACAGGTATCGGGAATTCTGAAGCCAAGTGCCATTTTTGATACTTGCTTATTTTGATGTTTTAACACACAGGTACTTCCATGGTAGCAAAAGAAAACACTCGTTTACATTTCTTGCATTTAGCTCTATGTCTCCTATGTGGTCTTATAACCTACACTCCTCTTCCCGTGTCTTTTAAATGGGGATAAATGAATTAGCTCATAGCAGCAATGTGTTTTTGCGTCTTGTCATCAGCACGTTTACTGATGGGACTTTCTGCTGGGTGCCTTCCAGGACAGATGTCCTTCCTTTGGTCCCTCACTGCACCTCGGAGCGAGGAGCAGCTGCACTGTAGGTGCGTGTGTGATTATGAGTTTGTCGAGCATGGCCTAAACTAGTAACGAGTCCATTGGAAACACAAAGACACACTGACGTGCTCTGCATTTTATTCAGGTCCTTTTTGTTAATTACGCTGCCATTTCCTTCTGGCAACGAGCTGCAGATCTCAGCGACTGCTGCCAGAAGCACCGCGTTATCCCGAGCAGCTCCGAGTCAGCCACGGCCGCGTCACAGAGCCAAGAACTGCTGCCAGCTGAGAGGGATCCTCACCTCCCACCGCTGTATCAGCCTCCCATCTATCTAACGTCCCTCATTACGAAGCTCATCGCTCATTTCAGAACACAGAGCGCCGCAGCGTCAAGGCGCGCACAGCCCCGCCCCGCGCCGCCTGGAAGCCTCCGCTGCCTCAGGGCGCACAGCGCCCTCCCGCGCTCATAAGCGCCGCGAGCTGCGCTAGGCCGCGCGGCTGCTACCACCGCTCGCGCGCAGGCGCGGCCGCCTGGAGGCGGAGCGTCGCGGTGCTGCTGTTGCTGCTACAGCGGGGCCGGGTGCGCGCGGTCGCTGTGGGAGGGTGCTGGCCGCGGGGCCGGGACTCGGCGTTCCGCTCTCTGCCCGGTTCACAACACCTCGCCCCGGGCGGGACCGCCGGCGTGGGGCGGGGCGGTGCCGCGTGGGTGGTCACCAAGGGTGCGTGACTGACGGCCGCTCCCCGGGCGCGGCGCGGCGTGGCGCGTGTGAGCGGCTCCGCTGAAGGGCGGCTGTCAATGCGGGCTCGCTCCCGGGAGCTCGTCCTGGTTGTGTCCGAAAGTAGTTCGCGCTCGGGCAGCCGCGTGCTGTAGGTGCGCTCGTTCTGCGCCTCGTGCTATTCGAAACGCGCGGTGCCGGGCGGGGTTGGCGGCTGGGGGACGGACGTGTGTGAACGTGAAGGAGCGCTGAGCACGTCTCGTTTCCGCTTTTTAGCAGGAGGCGGTGCTGTAGGGAGATGGCCGAAGCCGCTTTCCGTCCCCCGAGAAGGAAAAGGAGGGTATTTGAGTGCTACCAGGCGCCTTTCCCTGTGGGTGCCGGCGGGGGGGATTTCAGGATGTGCCGGGCTGACATGGTCAACAACAGCGTCGTGGTGAGGAGCCCCGAGGACGTGGAGCGGCTGTACAACGAGGTGCTGCCCGCCCTGCCGTGTGGCAGGCCTTTATTGACCTCTCCATCCCCATTCTTGTGCAGTTTCTGTGTCCCTGTTTTCCTTATGCGTGGTTGCAGTGTGAATACACAGGTGCTTCTTCTACCTCTACTTTCAGAGGAGTTGTCTGATGAATATTTAAAACTGAGGGAAAAGACTCAACATTCCCTTAATTAAACTTTCAAGCGTGAACGTTAAATGTTAAATTAGTTACCAGAAGTTAAACAACCAGCTTTGGGCTAAGATTAAAAGCTGCAGGATTTCTGTTATTTTTGTCAGCAGGCAAAGGCAATAAACATTTTGTAGTTTGGAAGTAAGTTTTCCTCCATCTGCTGATAAAATGAAGATTTTTCCATTTTCTTTGAAGGGCTATTTTGGAAAAGGCATTCTTTCAAGAAGTCGGCCAATGTACAGCATTTCTGATCCTTCACTGGTTTCCAAATGGCAAGGTAAGCTGTGCCCATTTGTACTTCTTTTCACCGTTCTAATAACACTTTTGATATCACTCATTGAATATATGTCTATAAATCACACACAAAGTAGTCTGTTGTGCTACTTTGAGTCAACCTGCTTCCATACCTTGTCTCTGATAATGCCCACTATGAGACTCCTTGGAAAACCAAGTGTTAGTTATCCCTCCATATGTCCTGCTAGGCTCCACTGAGATGTTGTTCAGGAGCTCTGCTAAGTGAAGATGTCATCCTTGGACTTTTCTGCCTATAACTGTCAGGCTTTTCTTGGCTGTAAACCCCAGTTCTTACCATTCATGATATCATGAGGCAAGGATAAGTGGATTTTTTATCTACTGATGGCTAGTTACATCTGGTGTGCTCTTGGTTCATTAAGGAGAGACTGTCACGCTTTATCCATATTTTTCACAACAACTAAATCCCATACGCATCGCTGGATTTGGCAGTCTCCTTATGTAACTGTCTCTGTAAAGGCTGGAGGAAAGCAGTGTGTTTAGCTGATCTGCTGGCTGCTTTACCTCTGGTTACCTCTGTGCCTGTTCTAGTTCTCCCATGTCCTTAACCAATGCAAGTGGGACCAAAATGGCATGGATTATTGAAAACATGAGTAATTATCTGTGATTAAAATCTCATGAAATGTTTATGTTGATGATACAGTGTGGGATTTTCTCTTAATAACAGGTGCCAACCTAAACATGCCTATAATCACATCAAAAAAGTAAGTCAGCTTATGTTACTTTTTAATTCTATTTTAGAAGGCAGGAGAATTTAGTTCATGTTTTATCTTACTTGTTTTCAGGGCTGTGTAAGTGCTGGTGACTTCTGTTTCTTTTTATTTCACTTATAAATTGCATTCAGAAAACTGGAAATAGATTAGGTGATACTTAGCATGGTTTCTGATGTAAGGTTACCTGTATTAACTGCTGAATAAAAGGCAAGATTAAGTGTGGGTAATGAATTCATATTGTCAAGCATAATGATCTTGTTCCTCAGCTGAGAAGGAGTGAGAGGTTTCTGGGGCAGAATATTGTAAAACCTTCCCATTTGCTTATTGAATTAAAGCTGAAGAAGCCCTTAGGCGTTTATGTAGCATAAAAATTTGCTTTTTCTTTTTTTCTATATTCTCTCTTAATATTGCTAGTTTGTGCATTTAACAAAACGAGGTGTTGGATCACATTTATTTAGTTCCACTTAAATAGTGTATGACCTAACCATAGAGTGGGCATGTTAGCTGCTGTGTTTGCTTTCATTTTACGATGACAGTAGAAAAAAATTACTTAAATTTAAAAGTTTGGCTTCTTGGGCCCTCAACTTTAGGTAAGGCAGACAGTAGTGGCATTGCTACTGCTCGCAGAAACACTGCTGTGTGGCACTGAATGTGTAAAGGCAGATGGGCATTGGAAGTGTTGTGGTGTTGGTGCGGGTGGATGGGGTGATCTGTCTCAGCAGAGGTCTGTAACTCCAAATCCACATAGAACACAGAGGAGTCTTTATTGTAACACAAAGTACAGCACTGAATTACGTAGCTTTGTTAGATTTCAGAGGGGATTTGTTTCTTGTTGACACTCTGAATTCACAGTTATTTGCTTTTGCTGTTCTACATTACCTGATCTCTGACTTTGTGAAAGTTTTGAGAAATAATAAATATAGTACTGGAATTGCCCAGCTTTGATTAAGGACGACTGTACTCAGCTACTTGAAGCTTTCACAGAAGGATGATTGCCTTAAACTGGCTATTAACATTATCTCCAGTGAGAGCTACGAACTAACAGCTGGGATTATTGTAACTCACTGAAAAATGTTAGGAGAAATATTCACAGCTCTCAGCTAGTAACTCTGCTTGTATCACTGTTGGTCCTCAGAGGCAGGGGGTTGTTGGTTAAAACTCAAGGTAGTTTCTCCTTAAGATTTTCACGTTTCTACTCTGTTGTTGTTTCAAAGGTAATTAAAATAAGTTGAAGATAACTGTTCTCAGTAGTGGGCTGTGTAATAGATGATGTCTGTGAGAACTCTGTATACTGAGTCCTGCTTACAATGTTTAATCGTGGAAGCTCTGATATAGAGATCTTCTTGCAGAGAACTCAGACTTAAGGCTTGTGCGTGAGAATGCTGGGTTTTTTTCCGCCAAGCTCCTGCTCCTTCAAACTGCATCACAGCAGTCCTCAAGGTGTGGTTCTTGCATAGCATTCTGTAGTGTTACCACAGAAATTACATGTGTGTTTTTAAGGTGTTAATTAGAGGGAAAAAAGCCCTGGAACTTCTCATTTATTTCACTTGTTCTCTAGGTACCAGCAGCGTGTTCAGTGGGCTAAAAGTGCTTTGCAAGAGCAAGGATTTGATAGCTGCTCCGTGACCAAAATTCTTGAGAATTACACTAGGCCTCTTGAATTTCCATTTTTGGAAAAGGGTGGAGCTGAGCAAACTGGTGATGGCTGTGACACGATGGGCCCAAACACAGAAAATGCAGAACTTTCCAGGCAGTCTGCTGTAGATACCGAAAACACGGCGACTTTGAGTCCTGAGCCTCAGAAGGAGGTCTGCCAGAAAGCCTGTGCAGAAGGAGATCTCGCTTCTGATCCCGTGGTGGCTCTTGGCTCTGAGGAACAGGAGCCTGCTGTTGTGAAAGAGGCAGCCCAAGCGTCCTGCCAGAAGCATGGTTCTCATGTGCATTGTGGCTGCAAGGCTAAAGGGGGCCCCGAGCGAGAATCGAGCGACATGGCCAAGTCAGGAGAACGTGCTCCAGAATATGTGCTTGTGCAAGAGGAAGAGGAAGGTAGTTTATGTCCTGAAGAGGGCTCTGCTCATCAGCAAGAAAATGTAAGGCTCATTCTTTTTTTTTAATGGCTATAATCATTGCAAGCTTAAGAATTCGGTATTTTTTCCAGTTTAACATCTTAATGTAGTAAATTTTCGTTGTAGTTTGTCAAGAAGGAAAAACTAGTCTGCAGAAGAAATCCATTTAGGATTTTTGAATATTTACAACTCAGCTTGGAAGAGGTACGTTTTGAATGGAGTATATATTAATATTTGTCTCTGAATTATAGGATTCTCCCTTCTTCATTTATGTAAACCCCGTTGTGCTCCTGCTAAATATATTTGCAGTTTTAATATGGTGCACAGCTTTGATGCAGTGCCTTCAGGAGTCAACAGCACGTGCGTGATTTCTGTGGTACTCTATCTATTGGAATGTGAAGGTCATAAATAGAAACTTCAGAAGAACCTCACAAGCAACTTGTCTGTCTTGATTTCTGTATAAAATGAATGTGAGCCTTTGTTCTTGCCTGGAATATGACCTCCTAGAAGAGTGTAGATATCAGTTAAAAGTATTCTTTTTGGTTTTTCAGGCTTTTTTCTTGGTGTATGCTCTGGGATGCTTAACTGTTTATTATGGTGAGGTAAGAGATTGGATTGATGGGGATACCATTCATTTGGGTCTGTTTTGATATGAATTTTTTGCCAAATATTACCAGCATTGTATGCTCTTAATCCCAAAGGAGGGAATACCAAGCAGAATAATTGGGAAGTTTTTTCTAACAAGTAGTAGCATTTCTGCTTATAACATATTATTCTGAAAGTTTTGTTTAACATGGCAAATACAGCTGCCAAAATATAGGCAAGCAGGATCTTCCTGTAGAGGAAGGTTGTTTGTTGCAGCTTAGGTAATGAATGTGGGGGAGGGCAGCTTAGGAAGAATATGATAATACTTAATATATTTGCATAATCATATCTAAAGATTGCTCTTTTATCTTCCTATGGTTCTATTTATCAGA